AGTATTTAACCAGGAAATGTAGACTGTGCAATGCAAACAGTATGCGCCGTGGCGACACTTGCCAAACATTTGCTAAATAATTTCATGAAATAAGCTCCGGGCGACTTGCTTGTAGCGCCTGACTTTAAAGAGTTGCACTACCGATATACTGTTCACTTGGTTCGAAAGACTTATCCGTGTCCAATATGAACGGAGTAGCATCATGAAGTTTCTCAAGCAATGATCACCATCATCCTGTGACCAACAAGGCAGGGGGTACATATGTTCTGACCGACGAGGCAGGACACATTTTTCTCATTGACCAACGAGATTTGGAGATATTCATGATCGCTTGTTTAGTCAGATGTATTAGATGTAACTCAATGTAATCCCAGTGGGAACGTGTACTTTGTAATTCTCAAATGAATTAATAAAGATACGAGTTCCATGAATTGTTGTCATTCCTTTTACTTATTTTGTATATTTATATATACCGGTACGCCCGCGCATATCAATTTACCTACGCATTAGGACTTACTCGCTTAGTTGGTAGCATGTTTTCCTTTTTGGCAAAACAGTTGGGATCATTTGAAAAAGATATGTACCTAAAAAATGAACTACTGTTGGCTTGGCAAGAGTAATTGTTTTGAAGCAGAAATAATAAAAATGTGTTTTTTCTCTCCATTTGTTTACACTCCTACAAAAGAAGCAAGAAATGCGTCACAAACCAAATTTGTTTAATATATTTATTGGCCACGTACCACAAACAATGCTAAGTAGCACAAACAAATGCAAACCCAAAAACAAAATCTGTTTTGCACTGGCAAACACTAAGGCAGACTGACTGAATATTGGCTAGCTAAGTGACTATCAACAAGACATCATAATATTAATTGGAACATCTTAACCCAAACATATATTTGACTGTACCAAGTTCCGCATCAGCATATTTATTAGATCTGATTAATGATTTTTATCGATCAAATTCATGAATGGAAATTAATAGTGGGAATGACAAAATCGGATAGATGCATATGGGCATCAAATGCCACTGATCATAATAAAACAACTTGTTAGGGGGTGTGGGCGGCTATGCATACCTCCTTGTAGAAAGGCCCAAGAGGGTTATAGACCTCATTTTGTATCCTAAAGGGGTAGAGATGAAGATTGTCTCCTCCCATCTCCCATATAAATAGAACCCAAGGGGCAAGAGCTAAGGTGGTTCCTCTACTTACACCAAAAACGTTTCTCTTATTCCATCCCATCTCTCTCCTGTTCGGGGAAGTCCCAACACAACTATAAATAACACTATTGATTTACTACACCTCAGTATTCTATATCAACTAAAATTTTATAACCTAATAAGGCAATGGGGAGTCAATATCAGTATAGCTAATTGGTGTTTGCATATCACAACATTAATCCCATGTGAATTCAACTGAGTTGTCATGTACCTTTTCGCAGCCGCAACCTCCTCCACTGCAAGTAAAATAACTCAACATTTGATTAATTAATATTAGTCATGCAAATAAAAAGATAACAAAAGTTATAGTTTATCAATAACATGATAAGAGTGGCTCTAAATATAATTATAGATAGCACTACAATGGTATACCACTCTAGAGCATGGGAATGAAAACAAACACATATAAGTACCTTTACTTTGCAATAAATAAATTAAATTTTATTTACAAGAACAAGTATTACCTCGCCATACGTACATAGGTAATGTAAAATGTTACGATAACCAACCGAAACATAATTCATGCAACCCAGACGACTATTGGTCTTATGTACCCAAAACCGAGCCAACCCGCACATTAGTATATGCATACCTTGCTATGCTAGTGTAAGTCAACAATGTTGTAATGAACCAGAAAGCTATTGAGGCAACAAAAGCCCAAATACGTGTCCAAATACGTTAATTTCGATGAGTCTCCATGAAGGGTATTTGGATGATTAGATCAAGCGTGGCCAGTTGTACGACAAGGACGAAGCCGAGCAAAGTTGGGTACATCAAGAAAAATGCAAAAGAAATTACAGCCGATAGATTTATTTTATTATAATGAAGTTATAATCTGTTAATTTGTTGTATGTACCTTAGTATCTGAAGGTAAATTCGCGTGTCTTTCTTCTCCGATGTACTGAGCGAGGGAAGAACAAAGATCGGAAGAATAAAGATCAGATGTACTGCTGGGTGTACGGAAGAACAAAGATTAGATGTGGTGCTGGCGAGGAGGAAGAGAGGCAGATGTGGTGCTGATGAACGGAGGAAGAGAGGTGTTCTCGAACAGACGAACAAAGATCAGATGTGCTGCTGGCGAACGGAGGAAGAGAGGTTGTTCTCGAACGGAGATAGAGAGGTCGTACGGGTGATTGCTGGATGAGGTTGTTCTCGAACGGAGATAGAGAGGTCGTACGGGTGATTGCTGGATGTGAAAAGGGAATAGAGGTATTTAGACAGGTAGGATAGTATGTAAAACATCTCGGTGCTGCACGACACGACAATCGACGATAATGCGGAATCGAATAGCTGTGGCCCAGCGACAGCCAGCACACAATAGGCCAACATGGCTGATTGAAAACATGGAAAAATAAAGAGTGTCAGACATAGGCAACAAATGTCTTCCAAACAACCAATTAAACTTAATGAATTATGTCATAGTGTGGATACATATCATAGGTTCATTCACAGCAAACTCATCATGAACTAAAGGGCATGTTCGTTGGTTGGTGCTGGTTTTTTTAAGAAAAAAACACTATTACCTGACTGAAACCAAACAGGGTGAAAACCACCGATCACCGAAACACCAGGAATCTTCAGAGGTTGTACGAGAGCAGAGCTGCGGCCACTGTGGTGAGAACGACGAACGCTGAGACTGACGATCCGGTCGCCGCCGCTGACTTGGACGAGCCCGGGCTTGGGGCTGCCGGAGCCGTTCCGGAAGCTATAGGTGCTGCAAACATGGAAACGGCATTGCGAACAGCATTGCGAGTGAGTTAATGATACACAGACGTTCTCATAGTTTCAGAACCTAATTCAGATGCATAGCTCTTTAGAAAATGAAGATGGGGCTTTCAGTGATTGAGCAGAGATGGTTTTTACTGTTAGGCCCAACTTCACCCTTTTTAGTGAAAAAAAAACAGGAAAGAAAGAAGCTCGCTTTCACAATGGTTTTGCGTGTTCTAGATACACTAAAATAATGTACTGATCAAATGGAAGACAGGAAAGAAAGATGCTCGCTTTTCACAATGGTTTTGCGTGTTCTAGATACACTAAAATAATGTACTGATCAAATGGACTGTTGGCAAAGTGGATCAACTAGTACGTCTCCGTACGCACCTACTACTTTCATAGCTGCAATTAATTGGCAGTTTACATCATTTAGTTGAGAATGTAATAAACTGTTAATCTGTTAACAAAACTAATACTGCACCGACTTGCGCACGAATAAAATTTAGAGTCCAACCCACAACCACAAAGGTCAAAGGAGGAAGTGCTTCTGTTAGTAATTCAGATTACTTGTCACTGTCGTATGATAATATATAATTAAAATTTTAGCTTGGACATCTGGTTGTGACAATATACTCTCTCCATTCTAAATTATATGGCTGTGTTCGTTTTCCTCAGGTAAAAGTGTAGCCTTATCACATCGAATCTTTGATACCAATTAGGGGTATTAAACATATGCTAATTACAAAACTAATTACACAGATTGAGGCTAATTTGCGAGACGAATAATCAATCCATGATTTGACAATGTGGTGCTACAGTAACATTTGCTAATTATGGATCAATTACGCTTAATAGATTCGTCTCGCTAATTAGTCTACTCTTGTACAATTAGTTTTTTAATTAGCTCATATTTAATCCTTCTAGTTAACATCCGAATGTCCGATATGACACGGCTAAAATTTAGCCTCTGGATCCAGACACGGCCAAGTCGCTTTGACTTATTTTGGTACATCTATTTTGTAATGCATCTAGATATAATATTATGTCTAGATACATAGCAAAATAGATGAACCAAAAAAGTCAAAGCGACTTATAATTTAGAACAGAGGAGTACATAACATCCCGGTCCTGGATCCAGAAAAAAATTGTATCATCCATCATCATGTTTATGTCAAAGTCAACTATGTTGTTTTAATCTAGCTTGTAAAGGCAAGAATTAGTAAGAGTAGATCTAAGCAGACTAATGCTAAGCTACTTGTAAAAATTAGCAAGGTGGGGGTTGCGAGCAAGTGCGAAGAATTAGCCTGCTAAAATTAGTAGACTAACAGGTCCACCCTTCAACTTGCTAGGCCCTGTTTGATACTACTGAAATTAGCATGCTAACTCTTAGTCTTAGCACTTGATGGCAACATCAATCTTGCTGCTAATTTTCTTTAAGTAGCTAGCACACCTAGTAGGGTTTGTTTGGATCCAGGTTTACGAGTGGTTAGTTTCTATATATACCTATTAGCAATATAGATCCAAACATGGCTTTGCTCATAGGTTAAAAGGTAGTAGCAAACCGACCATGTTTAAATCTACCCCTATTTTTTATTAGCTAATAATAATAACTAATACTTCACCCGTTCCAAAAAGAAATCAACTTCTAAAGTTATCATAAGTTCAAATTTGACCGAATTCATATAAAAAATATCAGTATTTATATGATAATAATAAAAATTATCCTTATTAGATACACCATAAATATATTGGTGTTATTAATGTTTAATTCCTTTTCTATAAATTTGATGAAACTAAAAATAGTTTGACTTATTAGAGCTCTATATAAAAGTTTGTGATCTATTTTATGACGTTGACTCAAAGAGAGCCAATTTCGCATGGATGCATCGTCGTTGCAAATTATTGTGAACAAAAAGGACAGAGGATCATCTTGTGTTACCTGAAGCAGGGGCGCCGGGCACTTTGACTGCAAGAAAGGAAAATAATAAATTAATCTAAGAGGCTTTTACTGTATATTGTATAGGAATAGGAAAAAAAAAAGTCGTAGAGAATATAGTAATAGTAATCACAAATCAACACAAGAAAGAAACGAACAAGAAGCTGTAAACCAGAGATGAGGGCGGTAGTACTGACTGTTGCATTTGTTCAAGGCGGCGGGGTCTTCGCCGCACGCCGCGGGCAGCCCGGCGGCGCGGGTGAGGTTGACCTGAATGCCGGAGTTCTGGCCGAAGGCGGCGCAGAGGCAGGCGACGGTGGCCGGGCTCTTAAGGGCGGCCTTGACGCCGTTGCAGCACTCCCCGGCGGGCTTGCCCTGCGTGCTCCCCTGCTGCACGTACGGCAGGCAGCCGATGAGCCCGGTCACCGCCGACGAGCAGTCGACCGGCGGCGACGGCCCCGGCGCCTGCGACGCCGCGCCGGACGCTAGCGCGAGGACGGCCACCGCGACGGCTACGGCGGCGGCGAGGACGCACGGCACGGTGAGGCTGAGGCGCGACATGGCTGGACGGAGGGCTTGGACTCGGAGGCCGAGGCACGTGCGTGGAGATGTGTCTCACTTGGCGCGGGGTGGAGGGAGGGCGCGGGCGGTGGCGGCGCGTGTGTTTTTAAAGGCGGCGAAGTCGTCCCGTGCCCAGCGCGGACGACGAGATCGTCTAGGGTGTTGTGCGGTTGCGATCGGGTCTGCGGTCTGCCTGCCTAGGCGCGCCATCGATCGGTATCCGCGAGTTCAGTTGTGCGCGCCGCGTCGTTTCGTTTCCGGGCTCGATTGAACTGGTAACTGGAGAGACGAGAGAAATCCGCGAGACGTCACGTCTTTCTGCCGCCGGATCCGCGCGGCGCCGCCACGTCTCTACTCCTCCTCTTGGGCGACCTCGTCCGTCCCACACGGGCAACTCGGCAAGGCAAGCAAGCTCGCCAAGGGGACGAGGAGCCACGTACGGTACGCCCCGCGCGCGCGGTGCGCTGCCGTAGGCCTGTAACGTGTATGCTGCCGGTGGTTGTTGCATCACGCATGTGAACGGCGGAGCCAATTTTCGCTACCTAGGCATTTGCAACTGCCACGGCCACGGCTCGAGTGTTGCCACCGATGGAAAGCCAAGAACTGGCCGTGTAACGGCATGATGCATGCTGCCAGGTGGTTGTTGCAGTTTCACGGCTGGACATGCATGAACTGGCTGGAGGCGAGCCAATTTTGCGCGGTTCAATCTAATTCTGCTTGCATTTGCCATCTGGTACATTGGTTCCTTATAGAGACCACGGCCACGGCTCGAGTGTAGCCACCGATGGAAAGCCAAGAACTGGTTTTTTTGATCGCGTGCAAAACGGCATGATCTCAAATCAGCCATTTTCCAAAGCCATTTTTATTTAATCCATGCGTCCGTCAAGTTTCCACCTTCCCTGGCTGGACATGCATGCTTGAGCATCTGGCTGGAGGCGAGAACAAGTTCAATTATTGCGCGGTTCATTCCTAATTAATTCTGCTTGCTTTGCTGCCATCTGGTACATTGGTTCCTTATATATCCAGTAGGATCGAGGGTGTCAGTCAGATCTCTCCAGCTAGCTAAGTATCGTCCAGCGGTCAACTATATGCAATGCAACCCATGTACGTATTTTATACTACCGGAAGCTTGCTTGAGCTGTGTAACAGTTGTGTTTCAGCTGGTCTCGTCGCCAACGGAACAAAGGTCAGTACCACCAATAAACGCTTAAATAAAAACGAAATATATATGTAGCGAGCGACTAGCGAGCAACAACACGGATACATTGGAGGAACATGTACCACTTTTGTTTTATATCTATACAAAAACAAGCCTGGTCTGAATTCTGATGCTGTAAGGCTCTGTCCACAGCGGTGCCAGCAGCTGGCCTGGAAGTAAAGCAAAACAGAAAAATAATCATCAGAAAAGGTACCCAATAAAAAGTAAAAGAAAAAAAGAAATAAGAAGTACTACTAACCTTTTTTGGCTGGATATACTAGTAACTTTTGTAATACTGGTGAAATGCATAATGCATGAGCAAGGCAGAGAGGCTCATGAGTGAGATGATTTTTGCATTGGAAAAACAACATCATGCATTCAAGCTTGAATCTGAAGAAAAGCGAAAACGTATATTATATTGGGTGTATATACATCGAAACAATAAATGATGACCAACTTTCCTAAGCTTGTTGTCCATTCCTTCTACTGCATGAAACTCAAATCACAAAGATAAATCAATTAGTTAAGCGTGTGTCGTTCAATAATCATGCGATGAAACAATGAGTAGATTTATATTGTCCGTGCAACCTAGTCAACAGCCGGCCGGCTAATCAGCTATCTGCCATGCACTATGGTACAGCTGAAAAACACCAAGTAACGCGACAATCACAATGGCCCTGAACTCCGAACGCCTGGTATTTAAACAACATCGTAGCGCGTACGTTCCTAGATGTTAGATTAAGCACATATACGAGAGCTTGATCGTTAGTTCATCGTAGCAAATTCCCAAGGGTCCCTACACCATGATGTGCTTTATGGTTACACGGCAACGGCGGCTTGAGGAGCGTCGTCGGGAGGAGCTCAAGAGAAAGAAAGATGCAGAGGAGAAGACGAATTGCTTCCGTATTCGAAGGAACATGGCCACCTATGAGATGGAGGAGGGAAGGAGGGCAAGAGTTGCTCAACATGAGAGGGATACGAGAGATGCCAAGGCGGCAGATAAGAGGAAGGAGAAGAAGCAGAGGTTGGAAGAGGAGGTGAGAAAGGAGCGGGAGAAGATGAGAAAAGAAGAAGCGGTGAAGAGGCTGCAGGCTGAGAAAAGGATGCTTAAGGAGAAGGAGAAGAAGAAACGCGAGGAGGAAGCCAAAAAGAGACGTGAAAAGGATGAGAAAGAGAAGAAGAAGAGGAAAGAAGAGCTCAAGAAAAGAAGATGGCGAAGAGAAAGTGAAGCTAAGTATGATTGTAATCCATATTGAATAGTTTAGATGCATGTATTATTCGTTCCTTTAATCATTTCATAATACTAATTATGTATGAATAGTCAGGCACTCTTGTATAATATCTACCGAGACTCGAGTGCTCTTCAACTCAAATTTAGGTATTTGTTTTTTTTCTTATTTTATAACAATGAAACATCGTCAAATTGCTTCTATGTTGAGAAAAACAAAAATGGCCCCGTGCTTCTTGACTATGTTGAATTGTTGTGAGAAAAAAAAAAAGAAGCCGAACTCCTTATGTTGAGAAAAAACAAAATTGCTCCTATGTTGAGCTGAGTTCCGTCCGATGTCGAAAGGAGACACTAGGCCCACCCGAACTCTCGGATTGATTGAAACCGTGCCCAAAATAATTCAAGTGTATATTGTCTACTCCCTCCGTTCCAAAATAGACGACGTTTTTTACTTTGGACTTGCTAGCGTCCGGACGTCCGATTCGAATGCTAGCGTCGGATGCTGCTGCGCGCGTAAGAGAAATGGAGCCCACATGCGGCAACTGTTTTTTGTGCATCCCACCCATGGGCCCTCATGCCTGTGCTCGGTTTCTCACATGCCCATCTGTGCCCCAGCAGCGGGCCCCTACCGCCCGAACGTCACCCAACAGTTGCAGCAGGCGGGTCCGTTGCAACATATGTAACACCAGATCTACTTTTGCAACACCCAGATGAAACACTTGCCACATATGTCCGAAAACAACTGAAACACTTGCAACATATATTTGAAACACGTGCAAAAACACCTGGAAAACACTTGAAAGCCATTGCAAATATATGCACCATCCAGATAAAACACTTGCAACATGCGTATGAAACACTTGAAACATACGCTTGCAACATGCATGTATATGCAACATCTAGATCTACTTTGCAACATCCAAGTGAAACTGTTGCAACATACGTCTGATACAGATGAAATATTTAGAACATACACTTGAAACATACGTGTATAGCCTTGCAACATGTGCAACATCTCGATCTACTTTTGCAACATCCCGGCAACATCGATATAAAACACTTGCAACATACCTCTCTAAAACACCTGAAACATACGTTTGCAACATGCTCTTTCAGCGCAAACATCTCCTTGCTGCTTCACGGATGGAGGCTCGTCGGCGCATGGAGGTCACCGGTGTGCTTGCCGGCGGCACGAAGCTCGCCAACAACACGGAGCTAGGCAGCGGCGCATAGAGAGCGGGGTGGGGCGGCACTAGCGGCAATGGCGCAGAGGGCGGGTGGGTGGCGCGTGGAGGTCACCGGTGTGCTCACTGGTGGTGTGGAGTTCGCTGAGAACGCGGAGATGGGCGGTAGTGCACAGAGGGCGGGGTGGGGCGGCGGCACGGGTGGCGGTTGTGTAGAGGCGGGTGGGCGCGGCAGCAGTGACGCAGAGGGTGGGTGGAGCATCCGGACGATCGGACGGTCTAACCCCAACATTTCTGTTTTGACTTTCAGATATCATATTTGATCATTTATCTTATTCAGTTTTCTCTGTGGATAATAAAATAAATAAGTCATTATTAAAGTGTCTCTAATGATAAAAATAAATCATAACAAAATAAACAATATTTGTATTAAAAATTTTGAATAAGTCGAACAGTCAAACGACATATCTATAAGTAAAAAACGTCATATATTTAGGGACGGAGAGAGTATATTAATAAAGGAGAGAGATAGATAGGGGCATGCACGAAAGTGTGACCGGAACAATGGTCCAAGGTGGAACCAGGGGGGCCATGCCCCCCCCCCCAAAACAGTGAAATTTTTTTAATACTACCCTTATTAATAATACAATACAAAGCATATTGAGCCCATTTTAACTCGTATTTTATCATAATGTTTTGATTTTTTTGTTATGAACACTAACTACATATGTAGAAGCATAAAAAATATGTTGAAATGTACACTTATGTACATATTTATCACACATACGATGTGTCATTATGTTTGTCCGCCCCTAATCAAAGTTGCTGGTTCCGCCTCTGATAACGGTGTAGGACAAGTAATGGTCTTGGTGGCCAGACAAGCTCTTTGACAACGTTGCTTTGGGGAGGGAGCAGAAGAGCCCAAAACAGTGCCGGACCTAGGGGAGGGCACGAGGTGCGACGGCCGAGGCCTAGGCCGGAGAGGGGCCTAAGCCTAGGTATACAAACCCCTCGACCCTATAGTCCATTAGGCATCATCAGTAAACTAATGAGAAGACAGAAGATAGGCAGAGAACTGGGCAGGCGGCCCAAGAAGACAACGCCGGTCTTTCTTTCCTAGGCAGAGACGAGGCGAGGAGCCACGCCACACACTCTAATCGCGACTCACGAGTTCGCGACACGCCGACGCACGCACGCGGAGCCGGCGAGCCACGCCACCGCGGAGAGCTAGACTGCCAGAGAACGGTGCACGACAGCGACGACCGTGCAGGGCTCCATGACGACGACATCTTGGTTCATGCCTTCTTGCGAATTGCAATCGCCGATCAATTGTTTCATTTCATGTCCACGTCCTAGGTATTTTTTTTTTTGTTCATTTTTTAATCCAAATTAATTATTTGTATAGTATTTCAGACTTCTAGTATTTTGTACTTGTAATCATGTTTTCCTTCTAATTTATGTGTTAGATTAAAAATATATTATTATATTATTTTCGCTTTGCAAGTAAAAATAGCGCATATATATTATAAGATTTTAGAGAGGCCGGCACGATGAATTCGTCCCAGCGTCCTCAGAATCTAGAACCGGCACTGGCCCAAAAGGATGACTTGTTGGAGGCACGCACGACGCACCTCACACTCCTAAACGTATGAGTGGTGCAACCGTGCATACGGACCCGACAATTGTTTGTGAAGAATTGGAGTTGCTCGCTGGTGCAATCTCCGAGGACATCTCGGAGGCAGGGCATGGTTGAAGCAGACTCCAACAAAAAGGTCCAATTCTGTGTCACATTTTGCATGACGCAACACCGCAAGCCCGCAGCTCCGCAACAGTAAGGACCAGATCATTCTTGCGCCGCATCGACGACACTGCTGTGTTTTTTGTGATGTTTTTTTTGGAGGATGTAAAAAATGAAGGACGTCAATTTTAGAAGGAATCGCGGAGACCAGTTGACAAATTTGTGATGCTTTTTGGAGGATGAGCGTCGCAAAGGATGTCAATTATGCAATTTCTCCTGGCAAAGGATGTCACTTGCCTCGCCTTACCTGGTGAAGAATTACAGGAGAGCTGAGGATTTGGTTGAGAAGCTGCCTAGCCAGAGACTTGTGCTTAGTCCGCTAGGAAGAGACCACAGACCACGCACGCTGGTATGGACGCCATCGCGGGGCTGCGCCGCTGCGGGGAGCCGTCGTGGACGTCCGCCATCGCAACCGACTCGGCCGGGTCGACGGAGGCCCGGGAGCGCGATCGCCAGCGCGTAGCAACGGGAGTCCGAGTTTCCTCGGGCAACCGGGGTAGTCGCGCCTTGGGCCGCTACGGCAGAAGCGATCGCGTTCGTGATATTCGTGGGTTGTCACCAGGTTCGACGTGATGAGGGCCTTGATGCAGAGGAAAAAAAACCGTTTGTGAGAGGTGCGGCCCATCACAAAAGGACACGACTAGCCGTTCATCTATTGATCGACTTTTCTCAAAAAAAAAAAATCTATTGATTGACGTTTCTCAAAAAAATCTATTGATTGACTAATCAGGATTCATCAAGAAACAAGAATTTCCAAGGCTTTTTGAACGGACAAAGTACGTCGCTGGCTCCCGACCAATCTCTGAAGATCTCCAGTCCCATCGAGCATTCGAGCTTGAGGTGGCGCTGGCAACCTCCACGTGTCAGTGACACTAGTTGTACATCACATGAGATAGGAGTACGTTTCCAATTCCCACGGCTTTCAGCGGCAAATTCTCCTAGCGGCCAGTACATATCACGCGGGATGAACTATAAAGCAGGGCAGTGAGATACAGTACAAGCAACGACATGATAGCTAGCTAAACGCCTAGATCGGTGCAGACGTCTAACACTGAGCAGGAAGAACTTCCAAATGTCATCACACAACCATCGTCCGACTCACAGGGGACAATGCAAACCAGGAACGAATATCCACTCACTTTTCTCTGGGTCTCTCTCCGATCCTCACATGACCGAGCAGGAGTTGGGGTTCTCGTCGTTGAACATGTCGGTGAGGTGGTCGCCCGGCGGCCTGCCGCCGCCGGCCTGCAGTTGGCTGCTGGCGGCCACATAGCCTGCAGCAGGCTCCGCGCTCCGGACGTACCCGGGCGGGGCGCGCTTGTCGTAGGTACAGGCCACGTAGGGCTGCGCCACCAGGTTGTAGGGCACGTACGGCCACAGCTCCGCCTTCTTCCCCGTGGACTGCGCCTTCTTCAGCACCTTGCTCGCCTCCACGTACCCGACCACCGTCACCTTCTGCTGCTTCCTGTTTATCTCCACTGACTCGACCCCTGAAAGATAGTCATAGTTAGCAGCTAGTACTGTGTAAACGATGCGCAATGGATTGGTGGGTGCTCATCAATCATCATCGAACGTGAATGTCGTCGTTTCTTCCTTCTATACATTTTAATTGTTTTAGATAGACATGTGTTTTCTGGAGGTGTTTGAGCGAGGCTACAGTGTTTCTCTCAGAACGCCGAAATCACTGCTTTTGTTGCAAAGTTCTCTGCTCTGCTCAAAAGGGACGGTAATGTTCTGCTTGTATTTCTACTGTAAAAATCCGGTGAGGTGACGAAGTTGCAGCGCAGGGGCTGTGTGTTTCGGCTCCTAACTATTGTGTTTAAATTCTTTTTACTTACAAAAAAAAGACAAAGCTGCAGTTTGCAGGCGAAACCCCCTGTTAGCTGAATTTTAAGTACGCTATTTTCGGCTTAGAAATTGACGCAGCTCTTGGATGAGAAACTACGGATTTACGAATACAGAGCCAGGTATCTTACCCATACGTTTTAGAGCTTTTTTTGTTGGTTCATTGGGCAGTTGAACGGTATACACTGATCTACTAGTGCTGTTCCAGTGCTATAGAAACGGGATAGAAACAAGTTTGGGATGTTTTCAGGCTCATGGTTTTTTTACATTCCAGTGGACTAATGTCACATGAGAATGAAACTAATCAAAGCAAGCAGACAGGATTTCAACAGACCCTATGCGAAAAAAATGTATCAAATCCATTAATAGAGAGAAACAGAGAGGGAACCTTTCATGGAGGAGAGGCTGCTCCTGACCTTGAGCTCGCACCCCTCACAGTCCATCCTGACCTTGAGCTCCACCGTCTGCAGCTGCTTCCTCTTCTTCTTCTTGCTCTCGTGGTCGTGGCCATGGCTTCCACTCCCTCCCAGCAGCCCCGACAGGTACTCCAAGGTGCCCCCCATGGTAGCTCGCAAGGACGATGGACGACTCACTCACTCACACTACAAGGAACCCAACACCACCACCGGCAAGCAGCTCTCAAGAGCTATACAGAACACAGAAATGCTTGCTTGAGGAAGAAAAGGCCAAGCTAGCTTGCCATTTATATGCTCTGAGGCCTCAAGTGGTCAAGCCAGCAACAGAGCCTTGGCCTTGGGCAGTTTTCATTTCTTTTTTATAAACGAGCAAAGCTTTGGGCAGTGACAGGAGGACAGAGCTTTGGAAAAGGACTATGCATGGCAATGGAAAGACTTCTGAGCCTCTCTGTTTTCCTAACAGCAGTTTTGTGTTGATGTGATGAAGACAAGATGAGATCAATGATGCGAGAGGAAAGGGGAAATCAGTAGTGTCTCGTTGAAAGGGAGAGCGGAGAGCCTTTGGAAAGCTAAACAGTGTCCATGGCCTGCATGGCTGCATAGTATGCTTGTGACCCTGCTGTAGTAGTAGTAGTTGTGTGCATGCGCCCTCTGCTGTCCATGGATGGGGCTTTAGGAAAAGCAAGCAGATGGCCAGGGCCCAGGGCCAAAGCTGTGAGCAGCAGAAAGCTAACACACCAGAAAGACAGCTGCAGCTTGCAGGAGCAGAAAAGGTCTCGCCAAGAAAAACGGGGGCAACAAGACAAACCTAAAAAGGTCTGTGACACTGTACGCTGTACGCTGTACAGTCTGTGGACTCGATGTAGGACTAGATATTTGTTGCAAGAGAAGAGATCAAGAGAGTACAGGGCGTGTTCGTTTGCCAGGAGCTGCCGTATTCGTTTCGTTCCGGTTCCACAACCACAAGGCTAGACGTGTTCACCCAGCTGCTTCCTGCGCTGGCCTCCTATTTCATCTTGGACGACAGCTCGACAGCCGAGCGCCGCCCCAACGCCGGCGGCATCGCGTCGGCGTCGCTGGCGGCACACCGATCCCGTCGCGGAACTGGAACGTCCGAAGTCCGAACGTGGCCGCTGCGCGCAGGAAGTGCAATTCCTCCCGTGGCCTGACCACTAGAGCCTTTTCCGGCATGACTTTCGGTTGGGAAAATTATAATTTTACCATTATAACGATCACCGCTCATCCGATTCTCATGTTTAGGATGATAATTACATATTTACCAGAGGAGAGATATAAAATCTTACAAGCTTGCCAAAACGAGCGTTTTTGCGTACGTGGCGTGCCAGGTCACAGTGCCAATGTGGCGGCGCATTGCGAAAAAGACGCTGCTGCCCTCGCCTCCCCCCCCCTCTCTCTGACAGCTGGGACCTGCAGCTCCTCTCGCCGCCGTGTGGACCCCACTCGTCAGCTTCATCTCACACCTCCAACACCTGGATGGGAGCCAGGCACCTCCAGCTTCGTCATCCCTCCATGGCTGCCGAGCAGCCGAGGACGACAAGCAAGGCACCGCGCGCGAAGTCGATGGAGGAGTTCTTGCGGCAAAGAGGGGCGGGTGGCAGCCAGCCACTGGTACAAGCGAGGCTCTCCGGCGGAGTGCTTCGGTTGAGGTGGAAGACGCCATTGCAGCCATGGATTGGAGCTGAGATGTGGATAGACGGTCGCGGCGGGTCCTTTCAGGCGCCAACAAAGGAGATGGGGAGGCGAGAGCTGCTGTGTATGCGGAGATCGGTGAGCTCAACCTCGGGACGGCAATGGCGGCGACGGCGGTGGTTCACGGCGATGGGGCGGGGGTTGCCGAACGACGAGTAGCGGGGTGAAGTCGTCATGCCACTGCGAACTCACAGAGCCCGTTGGGAGTAGCAGAGACGGCTGGATGGGGGAGATCGATGGTGACGATGGAGCTCCAGTCATGGCCGCAGCTCCGTGCAAGCTCCAGTCTTCTACCCCGCCTCCGTGGAAGCTGCAAACAGGAGCCAGCGCAGGGAGCTTTTATGAGGCAGCAGCTCTGTAGCACGGCCTAGGTGCGAGCACACCGCTCCTCCTCCCTCCGCCGTCGAGCCGCTCGCGCCCATGGCCGGCGCTTCCTCGCCCACTCCTGGCTGCGCAGGCACCACCTACGGTAAGGCGCGGGCACAGGTGTGCTCCGTGAGCCACACTCGCCGCCGGCGAGGCCGCTGGTTGGTGGAACCGAAGTCCCGACGTCCCCTGCTTCAGGTGCTAGAGGCAGGAGATGAGGCTGACGAGTGGGGCCCACATGGCGGTGAGAGGAGCTGCAGGACCCAACTATCAGAGAGGGAGAGAGAGAGGAGCAGGGCAGGGGCAGCTTCGTCTTTTCGCAATGCGCCGCCATGCTGGCACCTTCACCTGGCACGCCGTAAAAACGATCGTTTTTGGCAAACTTGTAAGATTTCATCTCTCTCCTTTGGTAGATATGTAATTGTCATCCTAAAGATGAGAATCGGACGAATGGCGATCATTATAATGATAAAAATGTAAATTTCCCCTTTAGGTTGCCACTTAGACGCCGTCGCCGCTGGTTTAGCCATCAGGGGGTGGTCTCTGCTGTCGCGATCGAGAGCGATTGCATTGCAGTTGCAGCACCGCTCAGGTGTGGTGTGGACTGTGGAGGGAGAGCATGCAATCATCCCAGCAACAAACCGTGGTCTGTGGGGCTGTCGAGATTGACGTTGTCTGCTCTGAGTGCGGACTAGCTAATGACGCGTGTTGCATTGTGATCAACTCTGTGGTCTTTCTGCGGCATGTGAGTGGCCTGGACAGTGGAGTACATCATAGCCAGGCAGAGGGGGTGTAGATTGCAGAATTGACACAACACCAACCAAACATGCATGCATGATGGTGACACAACACAAGGTAGTAAGATCATCGTGCCCCACGAAGAGAAGAGATGCAGCTGGCAGGGGTCCCGGAATGCCGGAACATCACATCGCGCTCTTACACTGCGTCGCAATGGCCAATGGGACGAACCAACAATGGATGGTGGCTCGACCCTATATCTATATCTAATCTCTCTCTTTCGGCTCGACTAAGCTTCACTGTTGTGCCGTCACACGGTAGACGCGCATCGTGCCCCGGCGAGCAGTTACATCACGCAGCAGCGGGCGTCCGCCGTCTCGTGCGGCGACAGGCACAGGTGGTGGCGCGCTGGGTGTGCAGGGGCGCGTCCATTGGGACGCCCACGGTGCCGGGCCATTACCACAGCGCCCGCCGTGGCAGCATTCGAGACCATAGGCACAGTTGCATCAGCTCAGAACGCCCCGGGCAACACAGATTTTTGGCCACCGGCGTGTTTTATTTCCATTTTCGGTACAAAAAGAAGTTACCAGTATGCTGCTTGTTTTACAATCCTTTCTCAGCCGACATGAGAATAACAGCTAAGAGTTACAACTCTGCGAGTAACACACGTTAGATACATCAGCGAAAGGAATAGGAGCTACCATCAATTCATAAAAAAAAAAAAAACAATCTGCACAAAATTGCTTGCACCGAGAGGGCAACGTTCCCACGTAGCTTGTCGACCAGCAGTGAAGGTAACTATAGCGGATTCAGTGAAAGGGAGAGCAAGAAAACAGAAACAGGATGGACTGCTCTATATGAGCGCTTTGATGCCAGCTTGCTGCATCTCACGCAGCCGCCACACTGGATAATATGATTCTTCTTCTGCCACCTCGTCGCTGCCCATGAGTTGCATAGCCCACGAGTAGAAGACGGTTTGGATGGTATCCTGCCACATTCCAACCACAAAGATAATGATTGAGCTACCTTGTAATGAGTCATCCACGCAGGCCAAACATAAAACATAGGAAAGATGGTTTACATATAACCTGAAAAAATAAAGCTTACCTGTCCTCCTTCTGTGACTTGCCCTTCTCTATCTCGAACACAGTATATCTGCTGCATGTGGAATTGAAATATATATCGGAAACAAGCATACATTGTTGTAAGTAGAACAAATTAATAAGGGTGAACTTAAAATCAGCATACCACTAATTCACTTACGCACAAGATAATTACGGGTGAAGATCCAAACATTTTTGTTTCCAATACATCAGCTTCTGAAATGTGCAGGATCTGTAAAGGAAATGGAATATAAGAAAAATTATTGGTCTTTTTTTTTTAACAAAAAGACCAGCAGGATCTCATGGGGTTCATCCAGCTTAAGAACAACAAGCTACTGTCAATAATGAAGAAAAAAGCTACAGAACATGGCAATCTAGTGTGACTGAGTTTGAGAAAAGGGCAAATGTTTCAATATTGTATTCAAATAAGCCATGGGGAAGGAACTATTCAAGACATGTTCAGCAATGGCCTACTTTGTGATAAAAAAATATGCCTTGTGATGCATAAGCTTGTCTCTCTCCTTTGCAGCGCTCAATCACTTCCTTGGTGCAATATTTTTTTTAGAGTCTTCACATCACCCTGAAAGCAAAATATGCAACTGTGAGGTGACCAAAAGTTCTAAAGGTGTGTATATGAGTGGGCGTATGACTTTTTAATGTCAATTAGACAGAATCTCAATTGATCGCTTTGAACTTCACATTATAAACTTATCTGAAACTCAGCAGTGTCAAAATAAATGCACCAAATTTTTAAACTTTCACCAGAAAATATACAAAGAAGTAATATATAATCAGACCATCTCATTAGGACAGTCAGAAATCATACTAGTTCAACCAAAGAAAGGGTTTCTTCTTATTAAGACAAGGGTCACCTTTGAATACGCAGTTAGAACTGGTTTGATCGTTTCTTGAACATCAGCAACAAAATCAGACAGAGAAAAGGACCTGTGCAAAAAATGGTGAAACATAGCTCAACTACTTCATGAGTCTCCCAGAGTTAAGTTGCACACGCCTTACAGGTCTCGTTGCCGAATTTCCCTGAATGTCACCGCAGCTGAGGTTTCTTCAAGCAAAGATTCATTCAAACCACATGGAATGAATAAAGGAAAATCAATGTCGTGTCGTTCATAACAAAAATATTGAAATATGATGAAAGAAAGGAAAATTTCAATTGATTTGCACATGCAAGAATGTGATTATTGCACTAATTTATTTAATTTGTGTTACTAATGAAGAGGAATTACCAATGAACGAAGTGGTGGAAATTAGAAGGGGGGACATCAAAGGTCTTTAAGGAAAAGGTCATTGAAGAGGGCTCTTGGAATGATGAAGGTGATGCAAACAATATGTGAGAGAAGATGACAACATGTGTTCGGAAGGTTACTTCAGAGGTGTTTGGAGTGACCAAAGAGAGCGGATGCGACTCTAGAGACACTTGGTGGTGGAATGAAGATGTGTAAAAGGCTATTAAGGAAAAGAAGGAGTGCTATAAGCGCTTGTATCATGACAGGTGTGCAAACAACATAGAAAAGTACAAGGTGACAAAGAAGACTGCAAAACGAGCGGTGAGTGAGGCAAAGGGGCGGGCCTATGAGGACCTTTACTGACGTTTGAGTACGAAGGAAGGAGAGAAGGACATTTATAGGATGGCTAGGGCTTGCGATAGGAAGACAAGGGACTTCAACCAAGTCAAGTGCATAAAGGATGAGATCGAGCAGCTCTTGGTGAAGGAGGATGAGATCAGACATAGATGGCAAGAGTATTTTGATAAATTGTTCAATGGTGAGAACGAGAACACCACCGTTCAGCTGGACGACTCGTTTGATAACACTAACATGCGCTTTGTGCGGATGATTCAAGAATCGGAGGTCAGAGAAGCCTTAAAAAGGATGAAAGGGGGCAAAGCGATGGGCCCTGATGGTATCCCAATCAAGGTGTGGAGATGTCTCGGGGATATAGCTATAGTATGGCTAACCAAGATGTTCAACAATATCTTTCGATCGAACAAGATGCCTGAGGAGTGAGAAGAAGCATATTGGTACCAATCTACAAGAACAAGGGAGATATCCAAAGTTGTACTAATTATCGGGGAATTAAGTTGATGAGCCACCCTATGAAGTTATGGGAGAGAGTCATCGAGTAGCGCCTGGGAGGAACGACGCAGAAATCAACAAACCAATTTGGTTTCATGCCCGGAAGGTCAACCACAGAAGCAATCTTCTTAATAAGACATGTTATGGAGCGGTTTAGAGAGCAGAAGAAGGGCCTCCACTTGGTTTTTATTGACTTGGAGAAGGCTTATGACAAGATAACAAGAAATATTATGTGGTGGTCTTTAGACAAACATAAAGTCCCATCAAAATACGTGACCCTCATCAAGGACATGTAAAACAATATTGTGACTAGTGTTCAAATAAACGATGGTAACACAGATTATTTCCCGATTAAAATTGAACTTCATCAAGGGTCAGCCTTAAGCCCGTATCTCTTTACCTTGGTAATGGATGAGGTTACCAGAAACATATAAGGGGATATCCCTTGGTGCATGTTGTTCGCTGATGATGTAGTGTTAGTGGACGAAAGCCAGACGGGAGTAAATAGGAAACTAGAGTTATGGCGGCAGACCCTTAAGTCTAAAGGTTTTAGATTGAGCAGAACTAAAACCGAATACATGAGATGCGACTTTGACGGAGTTGTACAAGTGGAGGGAGATGTGAGTTTGGAAGATCAAGTAGTGCATAAGAAGGATACCTTTCGGTATCTGGGATCGATGATACAGATGGATGGAGATATTGATGCAGACGTTAGCCATAGAATCAAAGCAGGGTGGATCAAGTGGCGACAAGCTTCTAGCATTCTCTGTGACAAGAGGGTAACACAAAAGCTAAAAGGCAAGTTCTATAGAACGGTGATTAGACCGGCTATATTGCATGGAGCAGAATGTTGCCCTACAAAAATTCGACATGTTCAACAACTGAGTGTTGCAGAAATGCGTATGTTGCGATGGATTTGCGGTCACACAAGAATGGACCGAGTTCGGAACGATAATATACGTGATCGCCTAGAGGTAGCACCAATTAAAGAAAAGCTTATCCAACATCGGTTGAGGTGGTTTGACCATGTCCAAAGGATACATACAGAGGCACCAGTGCATTGTGGAGTCCTAAGCCAAGCTAATAATATGAGGAGAGATAGATGAAGACCGAAATTAATATGGGGGAGACAATAAAAAGATATTTGAAAGCTTGGGATATACCTAGAGATTTATGTTTGAATATGAGTACTTGGAAAGTAGCTATTGAAGTGCCTGAACCGTGACTTGGGGCTCTGGGTGGGTTTCAACTCTAGCCTACCCCAACTTACTTGGGACTGAAAGGCTATGTTGTTATTGTTGTTGTTGTTGTTGTAATGCACCTGGCAGCTACATACTCGGTGCTTCCAAGATCAAAATGTAATGTGCTAAGTGCTAACAGAAAATAATAGAATAGCATAGTTCAGATTTAATCCATCAAATTCCATAATCAGATAGAACAAAGAATGATGGAGCACATCATACTCTTGAATTTTCTGAACCACTGGATTGTCACTTGTCTCCCATCTTTCTCGGACATCCTCAGCTACCTGCATTTGCATATGCACAACATGGATATCACTGCAAGACAAAATCAGGTTTGACCAAATACATCAAATACACCTGTACAGCATTGTAAGGGTACCTCTTGTCCCTTGGTTACAACAGGCTTGGTGTATTCATGCACTGTTTTATATACTGGGTGCCCTCGGACCTTAGAGAAGAAAAAGGATTTGAGATAGGAAATCAATATGAGAAAGATAGGAGCAGAGTTGAACAATCTCCTTAAAGATACCTTATTCTTAAATGCTTCCCATTTTTCACCCAATACTGACTTTTTTGTTGGCGTAAGACCTAAATCGGTTCTTGTACTCTTTTCTACTTTAGCAGAAGCATGCCTAGCTTGATGTTTTCTCTTTCTGCTAGAGCTAGAGCTTAATTCATCCTTGACGATTTCATATCCCTGCTTAGCTAAAGTTGAAACTTTTGTGTCCTTCAACTTTGCAAATGCGCTGGATACCATTGGTGAAGCAGATGAGATTGTTGACTTCCATTTAGTAAACAATGTATTGCTGCCTGTGGCATCTTCAGACGTGCCATCTGAATGTGAGGATGCCTCAGTTTTCTCATGTTTTGAAGCTTCAGGTGAACCATCCCTACAACTTGTGCTCTCTTCTTTTCCAAGTCCAAAACTTTCTTTTACCTGTAAACAATTCATCAAGGCTAAGAATACAAGTTTACAGAAAATCATGACCTACACTGTATCAAAATAATATTAAAATTTATCCTTACCTCTTCTTTAGCAGCAAACATTTTTTCTTTGATATTTGCAGTAACATACAAGTGGAAAAAGAATGCCCCTATAAATCTATAAGCAATTGAGCATAAAACAAACAAATGAATAGGGCACAGCTATCAATAGCGAACAATCATCTTTCAATGGCTTACCTTTTTAGATGTCTCCTCAGCTTCACTCCAAACATCATCAACACCCTTGTATATTGTCTCAGTCGTCTTCTTAGTTCTGAAAAAAAATATTGTGATATCTTCAAGTAAGACACACAGAGTATATAATAACTTGCCACTATATGTAGAAGATCAAAAAGAATGAAAGAGTGCGATGATTTTGCAACTTACCTTACTTTGAGATCTTCCTTTACCACACCAAGTTTCTCTCCGAACTCCTTCATGGATTTCTGGAATTCAGGATTGCTGCAACAAAAATATAATAATAAATAAAGAGAAAAATTGCTGATCGCCATACATATAAAAGGTGTTCCAGCAGTATGTAACCATTATTTCAGTTGTTTAAGCTTTCATGATGGTGGTTGGTGGAGACCTTCAAAAGTAACACATACCTGCTCGCCTCACCCTTTAGTTGCTTCGAGAACTCATTGAAAACACTTAGGTTCCTATTATTCAAATGTCTATATGAAGTAGTTGCTTGCACATTTGCCCTCATTGCCTACACCATGTACCAGCAATGGATGGCAATCAGTAGAATGCGTGCAGATACATAATAAAAGAAACAAAAAAGGATAAAGATAAGGCACACAACAGCAACCAAACTTCAGAGGCATCCCGCTTTGGTTTGGGTGAATTGAACGAAGAAAAAGACACGGAGAACTTCGGTTTTTAAGAAGATCAAATCAATACACTAGGCCTAACTAACCTATGAAATTGTAGTGTTTGTGTTACTGCAAACAAGCAAATCATAGCTTAACGAAGGTGTACAAGCAAAGTTTAAACTGTCGTTTGTCCCTTGCTTGTGCAGCCATAAAGAGATTCCATTAAGAAATGAATTAATTTCACACAAATCTACGATTCCAATTCCAACTAAAAGCAAAGCATGTGTAGGAGATAAATGGTCATGTTCGCTTCTCTTATAATCCGTACTTTTCAGCTTGTTTTTTCAGCCGGAAACAGTGTTTTTCTCTCACAACAAATCAGACGGAACAGTGTTTCGGCTTTTTTTTCAGCGAAGCGAACGGACCGATAATTAGTCCACCATACAAATACGATATCAATATATTAACTCATATATGTGCGTGGTCCAAGATAATTATTGGGCTAGGAACCGTAACCGGTGCATACAATGCTGCATGCTTTGTTTTTGCTGGTGCAGCCAAAAGTAGATCAACCAGATTTCGGAGTAAGGAAAAACTTATGAGTTGTGTGCAACCAAAGAATTTCTCTAAATAAAAATAAAATAAATATAAACATTATAGAACCGTAAACATAGCCATGAGATAAAAGGTACGTACCTGCATGCAGTGGATCATAGGAGGTCAAGATAGATTTTGCTAGCGTTGAATGCCTTGACGGTGAGCACCACGCTGGCACCGAGGTGACGATGGAAGTACGTATGACCAGGACTCACCTCCCATTAGTGCTGAATTCTTGCAATGCAACCCACGTCAGAAGACGTCGTCGCCATCCTGTCTGAGCTAATCTTGGACCATTTGTATATGGGACGACGACGACGGACAAGGGCCGCGACCTAGATCACTTGTTGGACCATGCACCTTCATCCACCCTTCGGGCATGCATGATGGCTGGGTAGGCTAGTACGTGCGTATCCATGTTGGACACGTTAGGGGCTAAGTGTGATACGTGACCGAGAGGGAGTCGAGCTATGGGAATCTTTTTTAGGGTGTGGGATGGGATCGGTTTAGGCGCGGTATACATTACATGATGAGATCTTGGACTACGGAAGACTCATATGACACGGTATTCAGATCGAACGGTTATTTATGAGGAGAGTAAGATCTTGGCGATGGAAGACTCATATGATATGGTGTAAAGATCAAACGGTTATAAAAGAGAAATATCACTCTACAAATAAAACTCGCTCTTTTATAGTGACGACGACGACGATGTATATCTTGCTATGTATCTATTTTAAAACCATAACGCTTTATAATTTGGAATGAATGAAGTAGATAAGATTGATTGATATTGTAACCATACCATTTTGTTCATGTTTATTTATTTCGTATAGATGTAACATTAGTCGAGCATGCCCATTGATTCAGATTTCACTTCTTCTTTGCGATCGTGCGTCCTGCAATTTCTTTCTTTATCAGTTTTTATTACTTTTTTTTTTTGCGACTGAGTTTTTATTACTATTCTATGTCTGCCTCTTTTCTGTTGGATGGTGGCTGACTTGGTTCAGAAATAAAAAAGAAAACACCAGATTTGTCCTTTTAAGAACACCAGTTTTGTTTATAGAAATAGAAAAATAGTAAATGCATCAGTAACTTGGCTGAAATTGCAGCGATACGAATACAAGTGTACAACTGCTACAACAAAAGTAGGTCGAAGTAAAATCAAACAGCTAGCATTGACCTCAGAAGTCGAAAATATGTGCTGGTCATCAAACCACTAATACTGGTCTAATGCTGATCATCTATGAGTTGGAGTCTTGGAGATGTCTCTGCCCACTGTACAGTTCATATCAACAGCTGAACAGCAATTGCAGCTATGAAAGCAACACCACCAAAGTTCAAGTATTCCCTCCGTTCCAAATATGTAGCTAGCTAGCTTTAGCTTTGTTCTAAGTTAGTAAACTTTTTTAAATGACCAAATTCAAAGAAAAATATATTAATATATACAAATATCAAATAAATAAATGCACTATCACCAAAAACAAGTTTCAAGATGTGCGTATTCCTCCGTTAGGAAATCTATTAGCTATTTTGGTTAGTCCTTAATTAGTGGACTTTGTTACTCCTTTTGGTTGAGCCGGAGGCTATACATATCTTGTAACCGGACACTTGGCAATTAAGAAAGAATTACCATCTAATCTCTCTCCTCTCTTCTATCTAAGCCTTGGCGGTCTGGGATAACCAAATTCAAAGAAAAATATATTAATATATACAAATATCAAATAAATAAATGCACTATCAACATATACAATTTCATGGTGGATTTAATCCAACTAATTGCTAATGTGATGTTGGAGTATTTCTCATTAAAATTGATCAGAGTTGGAGAAGTTTGCCTTAGAGAAAACTAAAACGACCTACTTTTTTTTGAAATGGAGATAGTATTGAAACAACATAATGAGCAATTATATCTTTTTTTTTTAACGAAAAGGCAGAAGAGGAGCAATTCGGTACAAAGACATGACACACTTACACCCCCACATAAGCAATTATATCACAAATAAGAAACCATAAACTGTCTGGTATGCGACAGTCAAGCACCAACAAGAAGGCTAACGGAGATAAATAACTGATGGATTCTCTCAGTAAAAGCACAGCATTATCAAACACCAACACTAGCTTTAACAGGTTCAGTTAAAAGAGAGCACATATAACAACAGACTGGCTTGCAGCATTTCATTCCTCTAGCTTCGGAAGCACTTAATTGATAAACAAACTTAAGGTTTATGAAGTACTATTGCATTCACACATGGGTAAAACAAGGAAATGGCAAGTTTGTAGATAGACACTTCAAAAGCCAATACACTCAGTGTCTTAGACCTTTACAGACCATTGTGTGATACTCACGATGACATGCATCATGGTCTCATGGATGACACTGCAAAGCTTTCATTTCTTCAGATCGTGCTAAGCATTCCTCTGTCATTGCATTAAGTAGGAGACAAAACATGGCACAATGACACATAAGATCCTAGAGCAGTTTATGCTAAGCAGCAAACAAAGAGGAAACATAGAGTGCTTATCACAACCTACTACAGAAGATAACTACAAATAAAGTTATAAAGAGATGCAAAAACATGCCAATTTCCCCTAATTTCCAAGAGTTCACTTAAAGAAGTTTTACAGGCTTACATGTTGAAAATTGGCAGCTCAATTTAGTATGTAGGGATGACTGACGATATTCAAGGGAATATTATACAGCTAAGCAAAAATGTTTGGTTAGCCATTTCAAAGCACAAAATCTAGTTCATTAATTTTGAATTAAGGCAATACTATATGACTACCTTAAACCATTCAGGAATAAACATTGTGTGATTCCCCAAAAAAAAGGAATAAACATTGTGTGATTAAGCATAAGCAAAACATGAAGGGTAAGAAGTAGCACACAGCTGCGCATTATATCATTTACACAACACGTAAAGATTGATGTCTTGTATTTTCACCTTTATCAATGATACACCACCTTCATATAAGCTGTCTTTGGACATAACTTTTTAAATGTACGGAAATCATCATTCATTTCAGGCTAACTTTTAAACAATCGTTTTCATTGTCAGGCTAACCATGAAAAATCGCTTTCAAACACCACATGAAATGGATGGAACCTATGGTGGATACCTAAGAGAACATAAGCTTTACCCTTAATAATATGATCACAAACAGTTCATGCACCAGAACAAAGATAATGGATACATTTCACACCACTTGAAATGAACAAATAATTCAACTACTTAAGGCTGGTTGTTCAAACCAACCCAGGCCTGTAATATAGAATATAGTGCAGGAACACCTTATTGTGCGATTCAGGAAAAGGCTGTCACTCTTATCAGTGATTAGGCTCGAGGCTTATCCAAAGCTACAACAACGCAAGTAGAACCTGCATCCTGTATACCCCTACCCGACCGCTCCAATCCCATTGAATTCCATTTCAAACAAATTAAGGCGCACACGTACGTTGCATCATCTAAGAAAACTAGAAACAAAAAAGAGGCGACACCTTCGTGGGATCACTCGAGTGCTACGGCGGCACCGGCAGCCTTGAGCTTGGCGGCGAGCGCCTCGGCCTCCTCTTTGGGCAACCCCGCGCGCACCACGACGGGCGCCTTCTCCACGAGCTCCTTTGCCTCCTTCAGACCCAGGTCCGTTACCGCGCGCACCTCCTTGATGATCTTTATCTTCGCCGCGGCCTCGTACTTCTCGATCTTCACGTCGAACGCCGTCTTCACCGCCGCGGCGGCCTCCTCGGCTCCAGGCGCGGCGTCCCCGGCCCCGGCCGGAGAGGCTCCAGCAGCTGCGCTGGAGGTGAGCGAGAGGCGGAGCTTGAGGCGCAGGAGCGCCGCGTAGTCGTCCAGCTCGGCGGGGGATAGGGCGAGGAGCTCATCCGCGATTCGCGACAGCTTAGGATCCTCGCCGGCGGCTGTCGCCGCGGCGGTGGAGAGGCGGCGGACGCGGGGGACCAATGGTGCGAATTTGGAGAAGAAGAGTGGCATTTTGGTAATTCCAAGGAATTACGTGGTGGGGGTTAGGGTTCGAGGCTCGAGCCCGTTCGGGTTCGAGACGGCGCTTATAGTAAAAGAGACGGTAACCCAAAAAATACGTGTCTCAATTGCGAAAACGTATTTTCGTACACGTGACGAGGGGAAGGCGTGCTGAAGACTGATGCGCATGCGTGGCCCCCATCTGTCAGGCGGCAGCACCCTGGCGTTTGGCTGTTCTCCATTTCCAGGCCCCCCCACTGGCTTCCGACTACTGGGCGCCACAAGCGGCGCAAGCGCAAACAGACGCCATCTGTTCTTGCTGTCGCTCTCCCCAACCCCAAGCATAAACCCCTGTGTCTCCTCGTAGAAATCGAAACCGAAATCATAATCTGCCACGAGTGGTGGCGGGGATTCACGAGCGCGCGACAGCTCGATCTGCTCTCCTTGTTTTCGATCTTTCGCAGTCTCCGATCCCCTTCTTCCGCTCTTCGTTGCTGTTTTTCTTTTTTGGGACTTCCCCCGGATTTTTTCGGTGTTTTTTTGTTGTTTCGTTTCAGGATCGCGTGGCCTCAGCGATTTCCCGGCGGGTGGTCCGTGCATTCTCCCCTCGTTTTGTTTTTGTGATTTTCACTAGGGGTTTGATCTGATGGATGCGTGTGCTTGTAGGTTTTTGGAACTTCAAGGGCTGGAGGAGTACGGTGTGCGCTAGGCATCAGTCTCCGCGGTTGTTGGTACGTGAAATCTCATCCGACTGAGATTTTTAGAATTTTTTCTGATTGCCGATGCGGTTTTTTTTCACTGTGCAGTTGGGTCTATTAGCGGATTTTATTTGGATGTCTGTGAATGATGGTTTGGGCATATAATGCTTGTGGGCAGGATTGAAATGCGATCTATTATCTATGTAGTTTGCTCGTCAGCTACCTCCTGTTCCGGGATATCGTTTGGTCTTTTGCAATGCTATTTGTTGTGAACCTCTGCCTCAGGATCAGCTTGTTTTATTGAAGACTTTCTCATATGTAGTTTCCTATTTCGCTGATGTGCAGAAATTAACTGAATTTTGGTATTAATATGGACGATATATGAATTAAATTATGAGTATTTCCCCACCTACATTTAGCATTCAGCTCTTGTCAAATTCACAGGGTAAAAAATCGCATAAACTTTAGAGATTATCACTGTAAAAGTGCATCCACATATAAGAGCTAGGGGTTTTGAAGAACTATTTTTCTTAATGTATAAAATGTACATCACTGGAGTAACTAGAATGCAAGTAAATAAGATGGATGGTACTCTTTTAAACCTTATATTCCTGTTGTTGCTACTCAAGAATATACAATGCTTAATTTGATTCATATATTGGTATCCTATGATATGATATAGATGATTTTGTCTCATTGGAACTGTATAAGCCTGCTTGATTTTGCTCTTGGAAATCTTGTGTAACTTTTGCAACAATTTAAGCTACTTCTTACTGGCTCTACTGGGAAAACTTTTTGCAGTCACAATGTCGACATATCCTGTATTGAACGACCGACCAATTGATCAGTGGACGGTTACGGAGTTGAAGGATGAGCTTGAGCGAAGGTATCTGCTTGTCAATGGTTTGAAGGATGATCTTTTGAAGAGGCTCTTTGAGGCCATGCAGGATGAGATACCTGATGGTGAGGGAAAAGCAACTGTTGTAACTTCCCCTCCTGAGGAACCTGATGGAGGTGAAACTCCTGGTTCCATTGTTGCATCTGTTGACCAGGCTTCAATTGAGCAACATGTTGATAAAGGTGCTTCTGAGGTTGCGAAACAGGGGGCAGATCTTGTTATCTCTGTTACAGAAGCTTATGATGAAAGTACATTTGCTACTTCAGAAGTTACTCAGGAGGCTGTGGTTGGTACTGTAGAAGCTAGTCAGAAAAGTTTGGATGCTGTTGCAGAAGTTGAGTCTTCTCTAGTCGATACAGCTGCAACTGATGAAACCAATGGTGATGGTCTAGATTCAGCTTCAAGTGGTAATACTATAGTGAAGGAAGCAAATCCACACTTTGAAGGTCATGATGATACTATCGAGAGGACCCCAGAAGATGACACCAATAAGAAAATGGCTGTTGATGATGAACCTTCTGATCTTACTGGCAGTGACATCAAGTTGGGCCTCGATGTGCACAGCAAGATTCTAAAATTGGAAGATGAACCCTCACCTCCTGATATGAAATTGCATAGTCATCGTGAGGATTCTGATGCCGTTGCAGTTGCTGAGCCAGAAGATGACACAAGGAAAAAAATGATCATTGATGATGTACCATCTGGTCTTACACATACTAATGTGGAGTTAGGTGCCCAGGTAGACTGCAAAATTGAACAGGAAGAAGTATCAACACTGTTTGATGCTACTGCATTGCATGCTTATCCTAAGGAACGTATTGTGGCTGCGGCAAAAGGCCTTGTGGTTGGTACTGCAGAAGCTAGTCAGAGAAGTTTGGATGTTGTTGCAGAAGTTGAGTCTTCTCTAGTCAATACAGCTGCAACTGATGAAACCAATGGTAATGGTCCGGATTCAACTTCAAGTGGTAATACTATAGTGAAGGAAGCAAATCCACACTCTGAAGGTCATGGCGATACTATTGAGAAAACCCCGGAAGATGACACCAATAAGAAAATGGCTGTTGATGATGAACCTTCTAATCTTATTGGTGGTGACATCAAGTTGGGCCTCGATGAGCACAGCAAGATTCTAAAACTGGAAGATGAACCCGCACCTTCTGATGATATGTTGCATAGTGATAATGAGGATTCTGATGCTGTTGCGGTTGCTGAGCCAGAAGATGACACAAGCAAAAAAATGATCATTGATGATGTCCCGTCTGGTCCTACACATACTAATGTTGAGTTAGGTGCCAAGGTAGACTGCAAAATTGAACAGGAAGAAGTATCAATACTGTCTGATGCTACTGCATTGCATGCTTATCCTAAGGAACATATTGTGGCTGTGGCAAAAGGCCTTGCGCTCCCAAGGAGGACGCTGATGTCAGGCTACACAAGTGATATAGACTTGGACAGAAAAGAGGAGAGTCCTGACAGAAATTCTCGTGAGAAACTGAACTTAGATAGGAGTTCAGGTGATGAATCAATGGATGAGGATGTGATGGAAAGTAAGCATGCCGATTCCTATATCAAACCTGATGATCTTATAGGAAAGACAGAGGTTACTTCAGAGCATGTGTTTAAAGAGGTTTCTCTCCTTGATACTCATGCTGAGGGTTCCTCTGCACACTCAAAGGAAATTGTCACTGAAGAGAAGCCACCAACTCCAACTGAAAAGAGGAAGCCTGAAGGTTAGTGATAATTTGTTGACAGTATATTGAGAGTGGCATTTACTATGTTCTTGTACTTATAATCACATATTTATATTCCTGTTCTATTCTCTCGTTATTATTATGCCTTCTGTAACATGTTAAAAGGATTTGTGTGATTGTGCAGTGCTATGAGTGTCCATATTTCTGTTTTGCGATCCTTACACTTTCGTCTTTTTTTTTCCTTTAGTATATATTGCATAGAACAATTGTACATTTATGTTTCCTGGTTCTCTACTCCTTTCTAGAGGTATATGACACTTATTGCAGTTCTGTAGTAAGACTAGTGATCATCATGTCAAACTTTTGGCTTTTGTGGCACTACTCATTCCAAGTATAATTCTTGACTTTGTTTTAACTCGCTGTTAAATGAACAGATCAAGAAGTCATTGAAAATAATGAGCCAATCAAACGCCAGCGCCTATGGAACAAGGATGCTGTCAATATTTCTGATCAACAAGCATCCAAAATAACTAGTACTGGTACTCAGAAGGAAGTTATTTGTCCTGCTCCGGAATGTTCTTTTGGCAGGCCCAATACAATAGCAAGAAAATTCTCCAAAGGAGCGGATTGGTGAGGTTCTTCTACCTGTTCAAAACAGTAAGAAATTCACTGTTGCTATCTAATTCTTATCTCATACTGCAGTACCACCTGCCAAAACATCAGCAACAACTTCGTTAAGAATTGATCGGTTTGTGCGCCCATTTACTCTGAAAGCTGTGCAAGAACTTCTTGGTAAAACTGGATCTGTCTGCAGCTTTTGGATGGATCAAATCAAGACCCACTGCTACGTCACAGTATGATCTGATCTTCCTTACCCTATGTTACCTCCTAATTCTTCCCATGAACAGATTTGCCATTTCTCCAATTGATGGTTTATTTTGTTGTCAATACACATATTGTATTACCTCAATTCCAAATTATAGGTTGTTTTGGCTTTTCTAGATACATAGTTTTCTATGTATCTAGACATAGCTTATATCTAGATGCATAGCAAAAGTGTATCTAGAATGGACAAAACAGCCTATAATTTCTGGAGGGTGTGTCATGTAAAGCTAACACTTCCATACAACAAATGTAGGGAATATTATCTTAAGTACTTGCTCTGTTCCAAAGACCAAAATTTAGGTCGTTTTAGTTTTGTCCTAGTCAAATTTCTCTAAGTTTGACCAAATTTGTAGAAAAAATATATTACCAACTCTAATTCCAAATAAATAATCTGTTGAGGCGTTTCATGGTGGATTTAATGAAACTAACTTAATGTTGATGTTGGTGTATTTTCTTAGTAAACTTGTTTTTGACCATTTATAGCCTTTTCACCCTGCATAAAACTTGCTTTCTGTTTGCTTGATAGTAGCCAGTTTTACAAGCACAACTTGCAGACTACATCGTTTACAAACTTACAATTGAGCTTGATTCAGTCACTGTTGATAACTTTGGTTTTAGACGAATGGTAGCTTTGTTGTCTGGTTGTTCATGATACGCTTAGAGCATTTCGTGATATGTTGCCTTTTTTGTTGTTTCTTCCTTTTAGTAGCATCGCTTTGATGTGCCTGCTTCTCCTACCTCTCTGATTCGCAGTACTCTTCAGTGGAGGAAGCTGTGGCTACGAGGAATGCTGTCTACAACCTCCAGTGGCCCCCAAACAACCACAACTATTTGATCGCTGAATTTGTCGATCCAGAAGAGGTAAAGCTCAAACTTGAAACTCCTCTGCCATCTCAAGTGCCGATCAGTCCGAGCACAGTTGCAGCACCGCAGGCAGCAACCTTCCAACAGCCAGAGGCTAACCAAACCCTAGTAGCTCCCCATGCTCCTGCTACTTCAAGGGGTTTGTTGCCCACTCCAGCACCATTTGCCAAGCTGCCTCCCACCTCTGACCCTGGACCAGCAAGGGAGAGCCTTCCTCCCCCTCCTCCAATGAAGCTGGACCCTGCCCGGACACTGGATGAACTCTTCAAGAAGACACAGGCGTACCCAAGGATTTACTACATGCCACTGTCAGAAGAGGAGGTATCTGCTAAACGTGCAGCTCACGACAATGGTAAATTGGTAAGAGGGGATAGTGGGCTCTAGTTTGTCGCTTAAGCTGGTATTTTGGCATCTTGTACTTGTCACAACTGTTTTCAGATGCAACCGTACTCTTGTCACTGCACGTCAATCGACAGGTTCTATTCTCGCACCTGACACTACCAGACCAGCAGCTGCAGCTCTAGGAAGAACTACTGCACCGTCCTTGTCCCTACATTTAGCTGGTAGTGTGTTGAAACTTGAAAGGCTTTAGTAGTTTGCTGTGAGGGAAGGCCTGATTGGGACATTGGGTACGTGGTATTTTGGATCTTAGAATACCGTGGTATCTCCAAAGCACGTGTAATTTTGGCATTCTATAGAGTACCATGGTTTGTCAAAACTAAGATGGTGACAAAACATCAGGGATTTGGGTCCAAGAGATGGTGTACATGCAGCAAGTTGACAGCATGTCAGCAGTTTTGCACTAAGACTCGTTCAGTTCGTCTTGCTGCTGCTCCTATCGCGCTTTATTGTAATAGCATAAGCATCTTATCGCACTTATTGTAGATGCATTTTGAATCTACCCTGCAATGCAGTTTTACTAGAAAACATGGCGCGGCGTTGCGCTGACTTGGGCTTTCCCATCGGAGAACCTGTGGGTACAGTATTTTCTATTGGTCAATTTATTCTTGTTATTACTTTTTAAGTTCATATCTGTAATGGTTAAAACTGCTAAGCAGAAAGCTGCTAAAAATAAATGGATTGCACCATAGTTATTAAGGCGTCGCTTAGGTGTCTGGGCGCTTTTCCAATCGAGGCGTCGTGCCCGCCGCGACCTCCCTGATATGGTGTCAACAACTAACCGACGCCGCAAGAGCGAAAAGGCGGCTGCAGGCGCAAAGTCCGACGCGCGGGCGGACGAAAAAACGAGAGGCAGCTGTGTGCGTAGGTGAAATCGCGCGGGAGGACGCGCAGAAATTGGGCGCCTATATACCCTGCAGCTCGTCAATTGAGAAGAGGAAAACAGAGGAGATTGGGGAAGAGAAGATGGATGTGGAAGCACCTGAAATCCAGCCACTCTCTGCTCCGCCGAACCATGCACGGCCTGATGATCCAACCTTAAAATGCCCCGTCGAGGACTGCCTGCTTCCGCTTCTAGTCTCTTTCATCTGAAATGTGTCCTTCACTGTTCTTTTCTCTGTTTTTTCTATGCCTCTGTTCAACAGTCTGGACTATAAATTAGATCTTGGACTATATGTATACTCCAGTCTCCTGTGATGTATTATGCTGCTTGTGATTAGATAATTGGATACATAAACTGCTCTGGCTAGTGGTGCTGGCTGCTTGTGCATAGGCTCTAAAATTGGCAGCAAAAAGGTGTGTATCAATGTATGTTTGTCCTGCCCTAATGTAGGTGAGGGTATGTGTATGGCGTCGCCTCGCCGCGCGCCTTATTCGCCTAGGCGTCTGGAAGGGAGTGGGTTGCCACGCCTCGCCTTACCGCCTTAATAACTATGGATTGCACAGCATATAACTAAATATCAACAACTAATCATGCACGCATCACTCTAAATCCATAATATAGAATATATAGGGAGAAAAACACATGAAAATCTCAACCATGCACCTGATGATATGAAAATTAGTCCTCTTAATGCAACACAAAAGTAGAATAATGTTTAGCAATTGAATTTATAGACAAAAGGAGAACACAGTACAAACTTCCTTTGAAATCTAAATATACAACTACAATGTTTTCAATATTCTTAGTACAAATAGATGCAGCTCACCTGCATGTTCTTGAGAAAAAAACTACAACATAAGTGTAGACTATTGTGTTGCAAATGAACACAGCTCAAAGTGGAGGAAAAGTTACAATGCTAACTCTTGTAACTTCACCTGCAATAAAGTGTTGCAGTCTTATGGTAGAAGTGGAATATGAAACATGCAAAAAAAGAAAGAAAGAAAGAAAGAAAGGATTCATCTTAAGAACTTTGGAACAGAGACAACGTAGTAGGCAGGTAGCTCAGGACAGAGAATAGTATATTTTACGCCATCTCAGGATCTACATTACTACTCTTAGGAATATCTACAAAACAAGATCAATACATCAGTAACGGCTTCAGCTGCCTAGGTAAAAAAACATAAGATAATAGCATTAAGATGATGTGGCAAAGTAGATGATAATGTCAAAATTGTCCCTGAACACCTTTTTTTGGACAGAACCAGAGGATAAAACAAAAGAAATCCTTACTGAGAATTCACACCATAGTGCCTTAGTCTGTCTAAGGTCAATAATTGGTTGTGATGACCTTTTCCTTCTGGTATATATTGTTAAGCCATGAGATCTGACTATACATCTCAAGGATCATAGCCTAGAATTGCTTCCAACACATGCACAAAATATCAATGTAGTGATGGGAACGTGTCACAAAAAAAATTCAAGTAATCTGATTCTTGCACTATATAAGATTAGAAAAAAAAATAAAGTGTTAATGAAATTTTCATTAGCATCTGGTTATGGTAAGTTAAGCTAAAAGTAAGGAATGAATCAATGGGCAGTACCAATAGAGTCTGTGTGAAGTTTTGGAAGAAACTGCTTAAACACCAACCTGTCCCCTTCTTGTAGAAATTGTAACAATGCATCAAATGTAAGAGTAGCCGAATGTATCTCTTATGGATCAGCTAAAACTTCATAGCATCTACAATTTACAGAAATTAGGAATTGTCCAATCAAATAAGGTTCCTTCATTTTAGATTTGATTTTTTGACAAAAACATATTTAGATAAACTTACCAATTGTAGCTGACGTTAGCCTACACACAAAAAAACGAATCTGCAGAAGATAGCACATGGACATTTATTCGTTCAAACAACTGGGAGTAGGGCAGGCAAAGGTAGGCAGAGGAGAGGAAGGAGACTGGGCAAGTACCATCCAGCTTCCTGGCTCCTGAGCTTGTCTCTCATCGCGTACATTGCGGAGCCTCTTAGCTATTCCCGTCGTCGCTGGATGATCAATAGTAAGAATTCTGCGAATTTTGGACAGTAATCTTGCTACTCATGGAATAACTTTGTGACAAGATCATAACACTTAATTCACATGGACGATCATGTTTCAGAAAATTTGCCACACCAAAATAAGCTTACGACCTTCAGAGAAAAGAATGGTTGGTTGTATATGCAATTATGCATTCAATGAGTTAAGTCAATTAAATTGTATAGCCATGAAAAGACAGCCAGGTAATATGAATACACCTCTTTGCTTGTACAATGATCAATATCTTCAGCAAGCTTGCATCATGCTCCCTTGAATCTAAGTCGCATTTCTATGTTTCATCCAAAATTATCTCTGTAAAGTGCTACTCGGCTACAACTGCTTGAAACATTAACTATTCAGAGAGTACCTTACCTTGCTGGCATTTCCTCGAGCAGCTGTTGGCCGTCGTCCATGTGGTCGACCACCCTGTATGCTAGGACGCTTACCGGCGTGCTCTGTGCCGCAGGAAGCCGCATAGGGGCGCGTGGGCGGCACGACACTGGTGTCGCTGGCCTTTTTTTCATCGTGTTCATCTTACGCGGCGCTGGCGCGGACCCGAGGTTCTGCACGGGCGACGGGTGGCGGCAGGCAGGCATCGGGGACGAGAAGAGGTAGGAGCAGAGGGACTCCGGTGCCTTTGGCTTGGGGACGGGGCGGAGGAGTGGAGCATGGCCACGGAGGAAGCAGCGAACACCGGCACGAGGAGGGGCAGGCGGGGAAGGGACCTCGCAGCATAGTGGACGCGGCGCCATCGTGGTGCTGCGGGACCTCAGCGCGCGTCTGATTAGCGCATGCGGCCACCGGCCAGACCAGATCTTGTAGCGGAGGCAGCTCGTGCCGGGGACAGGGCCGAGAGGCCGGTGCTCGGGGACGGGCGACCTGGAATGCTAGCTGCAGTGGCACACTCAACGTTCGATCAACATCCGACGGAGGAGGAAAAACAGGCGACGTGGCCCAATGAGATGCCCGAGCTTGGCCCTTATTTCGTCTTATAGAGATGTAGCCCTTTCTTCTGGATTGTGCTTTACAATGGCCACATTCGGCTTACCTTATAATCCACATTATTTAGCTTGTTTTTCAGACAGAACAGTGTTTTTCTCTCACAATAATTAAGTCAGAACAGTGTTTTTCAGCTAATTTAGCCAAATTTCAGCAAGCCGAACGAACGGGGCCAATGGGTGCGTTCAGTTAGTGTTATATTTTCGATCATGGATTCATGGTACGTCTGGGATGTTGGAATTTGCACTTGCAACACCTGCGGATGCTACTGAATGCCTGTTTGATTCAATAGTGCTAATAGCTACTCTGGAGTCTACGTCGTCACTGCTTCCATTTGATCTAGCTCATGCACAGCAGCTGCTGCGTTCCCAGTGCCCCAGTGATTCGTTACTGGTCCTTGGAAAAATCGAATAATTCTTTATATCTTTTGTAATAAAAATACTGGTAAAAAATTGAATAATACTCTGTTCGGACTTGTTATGGGCTCTGAAAAGAGCTCATACACGGCCCAAGTATTCGTTTATTGCCTTGGCCCGATCCGAATCGTGTAATGAGACGAAGAGTCGTCGTTGCCTCTGTGCCTCTGGGTTTTCTTCCCCACGCTGTTATCTCTCGCAGTCGCACGCAAACGACTAGCACAGCAAAGACCCCACCTCCCTCGCGGCACGGCGACGGCAATCCACCGCGGCTCGCTGCCTTCGCCGGTGATCTGGCCTCTTCGAGTCCGGGCATCAGATAATCATCCCCAGCCCCTCCCTTCCCGCCGAATCGGCGCGGAGAGGGATGGCGTCCCGGCGGGGCAGCAGCAGTTGCGCGCTCTGCGAGGGATCCAACCTGCCGTCCTGTTGCGCCGTGTGCGTCAACGCGAGGTAGGAGTAGCATCCACCCCTCGCGTCCCGAAATTCGGCTAAAGTTTTAATCTTCCTGGTGAAATTTCTCATACGCCTGCCGGTTTGGATTTGGGTTGGGTCTTCCGCAGGCTGGTCGAGTACCACACGAGGCTGCGCATGATGAGGAGCCTCCGCGACTCCCTCCACTCCCGAATCGCCGCACGCCTCGAAGCCAAGGTTGATCTTCCTCGCCCCCTCTCCCCCCTCTGACACACCTCTATCAATTCGACAGCCAACTGAGCCTATATTAATTAGTTATAATTACCGGGTTAAAATTTGGGAGAATTATGTATTTGGCACTGAAACAAACCAGTCTTCCGCATTTGACACTAAAAAATCTAAACTTTCTTATTTGGCACCAAGTTGAAATTTCCTTCCCTAGATAGCACTGCCGTCCATTTTGGCCAGTAACGGCATCAAGTGGCTGGTAAAATGACATGAATGCCCTTCTTTGTAGCAGAAATACATGATGCCAAATGGGGAAATAATAGATGGACAGGTTGTCAAATAAGAAAATTATAAATATCACAAATATATTGTGAACTAAAACATGAGATTTTGATAATCGAAGTCTGCAAATAAATAAATAATAAATTTCAATTTCTAAGGCAAGAGCAGGTCCCGCTGGGGTAGGCTTAGCACGGGAGGGATTTGCCCTGTCTAGTTAGCTTGGTCAGAAATTTTTTGATGCAGTTTAGCAGCTCGCTCATCTCAGTTTGGTCAGTCCTATATTCTTGTCAGATCATCGCAAGACATGAAGACAACAACAAACAGATATTTCTCCACAAATGCTTAGAATAGTACAGGTTTGAGCATCTTGTGTCACAGCTAGCACCTTACCTTGGGTCTGAATCACTCCTACTTATTCCTGATCTCTCAATACTTCAATTCTCTTCCTAGTCATGTGATTTTATTTGTATGTTTAGAGAGCTAGTAAACCATGGGAGGCATAGTATCAATATAATTTCCCTTCATTTACAAATGCACCCACAATAATGCTTGTCAATATCTATGTTTCTGTCTTACAAATTTTCAGCTTTACGATCTTGATCAAGGGCCTGATTCTATGATTCCAGACAACAATAGTATCACATTTTTTATGATTCTTATGTTTAAGATTGTATATGATTGGGATCTTACGTGGACTCCAACCCAACTTATAATCTACGACTGGACAACCTTAACGACAATGCAATCCTTCAATCAACACATGGCAGACCCAATTCAACATTCCAAACCCCAAACGAACATATTCGAGATGTTCTGGTAATTCTTACTTGTGCATACAGTACTTGTACTCCTGGCCTCGAGCATAGTCCAACTCCCCTTCCTCAAGCTGCACAAGGCAGCCAAGCAAAAAAAATCAGTAAATCAAGTATATCGCAGCTGCTGAAACCCCACATCCTGATGCCACCACTCACTGGATCGCCGCCGTATATGAGGTCGTAGCACTCCGGCGAGAGGCAGCGCAGCACGCAGTTCTCCTTCTCCGTCGGCGAGGACCTGCACACCCAGCCCCACAGCCCGCTGCGGTATGGCAGAGAGAAACCACCGTCAGAACTCAGAAGCATCGCATCAGATGCGTTCCACTGAACAGAAAACAAGCAGAGAACTCATCATCCTAACACGTACTTCTCGACGTCGGTGTAGCAGGCCTCTTTCTTCTGCCGGATCTCGTTGTCCTGCGCACGGAGTTCGGTAAGCGCGATGAGATGGATAGAGACTAGAAGAGGCGGACGGAGGAGAGAAGGCAGGGTCAGGCCAGGCGGGGAGACGTACTGAGATGGGGCGGCGGTGGAGACGACGAGGAGAACGAGGGTGAGTACTAGGAGATAGCAGGCGGAGGGGAATCGCCGTGGATTCCGGATCCAAGAACATGCCCCCACAGCTGCCCTGTGGCCTGTGCGCCGGGAGCCGCCGCCGCTGCGCCTCCTCTGCTACGCTGCTGGCTTGCGGGAGGGGCCGCGCCGCCTCCATCACGCCGCGGGCTAGCTGGAGCGTCAGCCCCGCCGCCGCGACCGCGCCACGGCCTGGCTCCGCTGGGTGAGGTCGCCCTGCCAAAGGGCACGCGCAACTGGTGCTGGGCGCCGCCGGCCACAACATCCTCTGCTCCATCATCCTCTCCTCCTTCGGTGTTTTTTTTTCGGGGAAGAAGGTCACGGACTCACGGGAGACGGGAGCGCTCGGCCGCTCGGAAAGTTCAGGGAGAAATTGGATGTGTGAGTAACAGAGGGTACGTTGGTCACACTAAAAAAATTGACACGGTCAAAATAGTTAACTATCAGATGAATGAATGAAATGGACGGTAGTGCCATCTAGGGAAGGAAATTTTAACTTGATGCCAGATTTGAAAGTTCAAATTTTTAAATGTTAAATACGAAAGACTGATTTGTTTCAGTGCCAAATACATAATTCTCTCTTAAAATTTAGCATGGGGACAAATACAAGATGAATATACCAGAACCAGGCATGATGGTGGCGGGAATAACTATGCCGAACCTTGAATTGCTGTACATTTATGTTGTCGTTAGGGAATTCATGCTGAAACGATTTAGTTGTGTCCCTCGTGTATTTTTTTTGACAGAGCAAAACAGATGAGCAGAGGATCTGGAGAGCAAGCAAAGCACAGGATATCATGGAGTTGAGGGATCGGCTCACTGAATTGAAGAGAAAAACTGCCATAGGTAGGTCACTCAGTTTCACACTGATTGTCTGTGGTTGCGGGTGGGTTAGTGTCATGGTGATGTCATAGGTCAACGTCTTCCACACTGATAAATTTTGTTGGTTGTTGTTGGTGGGGTTAGTGATGCTGATATCTGCTTATTGCTGTTTTTGCAGACAAGACCAAGGTCGAGCAGGCATCGAGTGATCTCAAGGCAAAAACTGCGTCATTGAATTTGGCCTTTGTCACGGTATGCGTATCTCAGTGTTCATCTAGAACAAAGTCATTGGATATCTTGCTAACCCTGCATATGCTTTGTTTGTTGTTGTCAGCTGAAAAAGAGGCGAGCTGATGCAGTGGCCATGCACACCAATGCCATGAAAATTGCGCAGATGAATCTCGTAAGTCTTAATACCCCCCCCCCCCTTCCTTTTCATTACTTGTTTAGTACACATAATAGTAGTGTAAACTGAATCATCCATCAGCTGTGTGTTTGTGCTTATTCTCTTGCAATTGAAAATATTTTTCTTTGTTGGCAGATGGCAACCACCTCAGATTGTATGAAAATGCAATCAAAATCTGTAAAGCAACTTTGCAGATTGTTTCCAATGCGACGAGTAAGTTTCTACATGCATATATACTCTTGTGATCCTTGGTTGACAACCTCACCTGTCAAGATTCGATTTTGATCATATTTGGAGAATGTTGTTTAGGATAGTTTGCTCAACATCTTCCATGTTAACATCATAAGTTAATTGTGTTATATACTTATATCACAACCACCTCTTGTCGTTTTTAGCAGGCCTAACAGGATTTAAAAGGTCAAACTTTGACCAATAATTAGTCAAATCATAGGGACGCTTAATGAAGATCTTAACTCTTTGCTGATTATGCGTTTAATGGTGCCTCTCCAAATCCCCATAAAGTGCTGCAGTCCGTGTTTAATAAAGGTTCTTTGTCCATAAAGTGCTGCAGTCTGTGTTTAATAATGGTTCTTTGTGGTGTGCAGCAGGGGCGAATCATCTTCATATGCTCTTTCTTCCTGAGAGTTTTTTTTTCTTGGGATTGATTGTTTTTCCTGGTGTGTGAATTGTAACTGTGAGGCAGTTAGGCCTTAGGGCATATATACAAACACCCCTTTTCTTCTTCTTTAATGAAATGATATGCAGGTTTCCTACGTGTTCACCAAAAAAAAACTTATGAGCGCTTAATGTATAAAAAGTTATATGAATAGATTTGTATTTCACACTGTTATGTGGCTGCTAGGGTTGAGGATATTTTAGTGGTCAAAGTATCCCTCTAAATACTTTCTCAAATCCTAATACACCTACTAAATACAAACAGTGGGAGTGCCTAAAATGAGGGTGTCTTTAATTACTTTTTGGTATTCTGTAATAATATTATATGGATCATCAAGTGTTCATTCATGTTTACATAAGGATTTATATCATACACTTCTTAATATGTAGGTTATTAAAGAGGGAGAAAAGAAAGACGACTACAGTGGTCCGTATGATTCGATATGCGGGGCTCGTCTTCCTCGTGGTCTCGATCCACATTCTATTCCATCAGAAGAACTGTCGGCATCTTTGGGGTTATACTTTCCTCTAACTATTACAAATTATCGTTCTAATGGTTACATTCTCTCATTCAGTTATTTGCTTAATTGGAATTCTCTAGTCTTAATTGCAATATTTTTAACATTTCTCTATGGTCTATGACTTATCTATCTTCTGAACATCAATCTAATGCACACTGTCAAATTATTTATAAAAATATTCATAGAGTTGCTTGCTTCTAAACATTAATAATCGCTGTCTAGACCATAGAGATGTTATATGGAGACCAGTAGCATTCCTTGTTATCTACAACCACCTGAGAAGTTTATATATTATTATGTTCTTGGGTTGTGTAAATTGTTCTCTAGCACAGATTGCAATAATACTTTGTCAATTTGATTCTGAATTGGTGAAACTTAAGTTTGTTCTTGTTACAGGTACATGCTACATTTCATCAATATTGCAGTCCGTATCCTATCCGCGCCTTCTCTTCATGTATCAGGCTTTAAGGTAAGATAAAAATTTACTGTTCGAATCATGCATTGGAGTAATAAGAAGTATGAATGCAGTGCCACATTATCAGCTTTGATTGGTTAGTCCTGGAATTATAATAGTCTGTCTTGTGAATTTAGTTATTTTGATTGATCAAGGGTATTTGTTTGACTCATTAAGCACTTCGTTTAATGGGGATCTGTCTGTGGCACATCCACATGCTTTATACACAAATGATGTGCAAGGGTATTCTGCAAGTTATACTCGTTTGGATTTGTGATGCGCATGAGTAGCAGCATGAACTTTCAATTGGCTGCCTGGTTGATTCATTGGCTAACTTATTTTAAATGTATTAGGGTTCATGCTCAAATATATGGCAGCGGAGTTCCTACTGGAGCACACGACAGTCCCAGAGGTACTGTATATAAGAAAAACAAGAGCTCTCTATCGTATGAAGATGGACATATAAGACATAGACTGACGTGCTCTATTTTCCTTCTTTTTCAGCAAGGTTTACCCACTTTTTGTACCTAGGAAAAATGTTTGCACAGGTGGTGAAGAAGCTTCACTGACAGAAAGTGGTTCAAGTAACTTTGGAGTTGACTCTGTGGATTCTGTCAAGAAACCGTCTTTTGATTCCAAGAGAAGCAATAGCTTTAGCTTTTCTGGTGCATCTTCCCACTCCATGGAGAGGCATCAATATTTGCAGAGAGGAATATCACTATTGAAGACAAGTGTTACAGCCATTACTACCTACTATTATAACTCACTGGGCTTGGATGTGCCATCCAATCTTTCTACTTTTGAGGCGTTTGCTAAGTTGCTCCATATGTTATCGTCATCAAAGGCCCTTCGAACTGCTTTTGAATCGAACATTGCCTCAAGGTACCTGCTGTTTCATAGTATAACATGCATATCTGTGATCCAATATCGAAAGGGTTTTAAAAAAACTGATCCTGTCTGCTGCTTCCAGGTCAGAAAAGCAAGCGCAACAGCTAAACAGATCGATTTGGAAGGCAAGTTCAGCCATATCATCGGACAGTAGTTTTATGGACAGCATGCACACAGCCATCATGGTAAATTCCTATTTCGCTCTTACATTGCATGTAAAACTTCAATTTCCATTTTGATGGAATATCTGTTCTTGTCAGCCCAGCACTCTGGACAACCTCCTCCTGAACTCAAACGAGAGCTTCTTGTACACCGGTAAGCTGGTGAAGCATGGTGGTGTGCCAGATAGCATATTCGATGGCTGGGATCTGGTAGAGCGTGAGGTCCTACCACCACCGCCCTCGCAGGTTGAAGATGTCGCGCAGTGGGAAAGAGCCATGTATGCTGGCACAAAAAAGAAATGACATCTATTTACATGTCCTCAACTGTTAGAACACCGCAAGAGCTTCAGTTTAGATATGTACCTGATCATCAGGTTCTGGTTCATGTACAGTAACAGTACAGAACTAACCTCACCCTGTGGCTGTGACCTGTGAGTCATCTACACAGCAAGGATGCAGAGAGGAGAATTGTAGTGTAGGGTTGATTTGCTGCAATATGTACATGAGTGCAGCCCTGTAAATTTGTAAATATAACTCCTGTACCGTTTAGAAAGGAAGGTAAAATGCCTGGAATACTGATATTCCTTCCTATGAGTACAACTGAAAAGAAATTCTTTTACATTCAGCAAGAAAGCAACCAGCACTTAACCAGAAAAGAGGTGATTCAGTAACACCTTGTGACGGCCAGAAAAAGAGGCCTTATTTGAGAAGAGAAGCGGTCCACGTGTGCAAACGACGTGTCACCATCAGGAGGCGTTCCCTCCATTCCACCACAAACCAGCGGACCTCCAGCTTCGCCTCGCGGCTCCGCCTCTTCCTCCACGGCTCCACCACGCACTAACCCTAAAGCCTCCCCGCGTTGCCGGCGATGAGCAGCCTTCGAGCCATCTCCTCCCTCCTCCATATCTACTACTCGTCCGCCGCCGTGAGACGAGGCGCCGGGCGGCTGGGGTTCACGCCGGCCCTCGGCGGGAGCTTCAGGGTACCGTCGAATTCCAGTCCGCCCGCGTTCGTGCTCGACGAGGTCGCGAGGGCGGCCGGCGGGGTTCGGAGGAGGGCGTCCACGCGCGCGGCGAGTTGGGACTCGGAGAAGTCGCCGTACGAGACGCTTGGTACGATCCTGTGCTCACGGGTCGGTAGCATCTGTTTTTTTCGTGTGTCAATCCTGATGATCTACTTACTCGTATGATACTGATCAGTTTACTATGTATCAAAAAGTCTTTGATCCGTTGTGGCTTCGCCTGATTCTGATCATTTGCTGTTGCCATACTTCTATGATTCAGTTCTATCGTCTAAAAAAACGATTCAGTTCTAAATTGGGCTACCTTAGTAATAGTAATACTTTGTAGTTTCAGATGTACTGTGTGTTCCGGACTTGGAATTGAAGGTGAAGCTAATGTGTGTTCTTTGTATCTCATGCGCTTCAAAGAGCTGGGTAGGGATGCAGACGAGGAGACCATAAAGACTGCCTACAGAAGATTGGCCAAGTTCTATCACCCTGATGGTTGGTTTATTCACCTTTCTGAATTTTCCTAATATTCAGCAATTCTCCCTACTGTGTTTGAGGCACTATTTGATTTTTCTTGTGTTTCTAGACATACAATTCGCACGCGCCTATGAACAGATTAATAACTCTTAGTTACTTCATGTTTTTCTTATCACTGAGTTTTTGATTTGCCGCAAGCCCACAACACAATTGAAGACAATGCATCAGTGTCAATGGTACAAACTAGTGTGCAGTGACTATTTGACCCTCATTTTCATGTTACTCATCCTCCTGTGGATTCAGTGATAAACATCAAATGCATTTAGAATGGCAGGTCCACAAATCAATATCAGCTTTTAATTGAGAAGTTGTGTCCAGTAGCATGTTTTACACGGCATCAAGCTATTTCTCCTTCTATAGATGTGTCGTTGCAGTTGATGTTTTTGTATCTGGAGCTGTGCTGCTAGGGTATTAGAGTTCTAGACTTTATGGTGAAATAATTTGCGGGTTCCTCCATTCATAATTATTGAATTTAGGTAATTATCTCTATGTATCGTCTTAAGTCTTCTTGGCTGGGGAGTATGCACTAATAACTAAAGTCAAAACTAACCAAAATGAATCGAGCAAGTAAAGGCTGTGGCTACCTGTAATTTACTGATAGAAAAATGAATCAAGGAAGAAATTGGTGCCATAGTAATACAGGTGCAGCTGTCATTCTCCTTTTATTCCATCTGATTATGTGTCATCTCACAGTTTATGATGGTAAGGGAACCCTTGAGGAAGGGGAAACTGCCGAAGCCCGTTTCATCAAGATCCAAGCAGCGTACGAGCTGTTGATTGATGATGAAAGGAGAAGGGCATATGATAGAGAGCATCATGTGAATCCGATGAAGGTCTGAATTTTCTTGGCCACTTAGGTTATCATTTCATTATGTGCAGGATGCTGCTCCACTCCATGTTTGTATTTGTTTGTTAATTACTGTTCTGTTGCCACCTTTTTTGGGATTACCCATTTTAGTCACAATATTAGTTTTTCAATCCTGATTTAGCTTTATGATTCAGAAACCAAGAAAAGGGAAGCATCATTCCATCCTTGTGCTACTAACTTACAAAGCAGTTGTGTGTCTTGCTTTGTTTATCACTTTATCTTGCTGCAAAACTGGACTAGGCAACTAAGAACTGGTAATAACAATTACATATGGGTCCAACCATTCGTATGCCTTGAAATTGTTGAGCACTTGACTTTATTATCTGCAACTGCAGCTACTAGAATGTGAGGCAACATTTAAATTGTTGAGTTATGGTAATTTTAGTTGAGATTATAGTGGTGACTTCCCGAGCAATGTCTGCTTAAAAGCAGTATTGTTGCTGTTCTGAAAATCTTATTTTCTTTGAACTAGGCTTCTCAAGCATGGATGGAGTGGGTAATGAAGAAGCGGAAAGCTTTTGACCAACGTGGTGACATGGCTGTGGCTGCTTGGGCTGAGCAGCAGCAACGCAAAATGACACTACGGGCACGGCGTCTCTCACGCTCAAAGGTGACGCCAAAAGCATTACACTGTTCCGCTTCTTTCTCTAATGAAAGGCAGAGACCCTGACACTTCCCTTTCAGAAACAAAAGCACTACACTGATCCTCAATGCCGTCCAACATCTTGCTATGTCAGTTATCTGCATGCTCTGTACTTTTCTCTGAATCTGACTTTCAAAATACTGGATCCAGGTTGATCCTGAGGAAGAAAGGAAGCTATTTGCCAAGGAAAAGAAGGCATCTATGGAATTCTACAGCACAACTCTGAAGAGACATACCCTTGTGTTACGGAAGAGGGATATTATCTGAGAAGAAGGCAGAGGAGGAGAGGGATAATGAGATCAGTAGACTTCTAGCGGGCGGAAGGGCTTGAGCTGGATACAGATGAAGATGAAAACAAGACTTTTTTGGGGTAATGCTTTTGATACTTACCCCTGATTTATTCTCTTCCTCCATTCCAGCAATAATTGAAGATCCAGTGACAACAAGTACACAAGGCGAAATAGTTGAACTCGTCGGAAACCCTGGTGCCTAGAGATGTGCGCCAAGGATTCAAATATAATCTCTCGGGACAGAGTTTAGCATTTTACCGGAGAGCAGAAAGAAAAGGCAAATGATGGATGCGTAAGGGCTGTAGTAGGGTTGTAATATGATTCAATGAAAAAATTCTTGCAAGCAAGAGATACGCTTGAGATATGTATCTTTTATTGTTTTTGAACGTAACAGTGATCAAGTGATGCTTGGGCTCTGAATGTAAATGAATAAAAAAATATACAGATTTGTGACGTATGCTCGTATCCTCTATGCTGGTAGGCGGGGACTCAGCCTTGATTGCCTGGGCGCGGTGTGGCGACGGTGAGGGGCATCGCGACGCGGCACGGAGAGATAACCTGCCTAGCAATTAGTAAAGCAAATAGTCGAAATGGGCCGTTCCATTTCGTGGGCTTCAGCTGCCGCCCGCCCACCGCAGATTTCTTGGGCTTCAGCTGCCGCCGCGAGCTGCAACGCTCCGTGTTTATTTATAAGGGTAGAGTACACTTTCCAACCTCCAACTTACAATGAAGTTCTATTTTCAACCTTCAACTATAAAACCGGGTAACAAACACTCTCCAACTATCGAAACCGGATAAATTTGGTCCTCGGCTGGTTTCAAAAGTGGTTTTCTATTTTCGAGAGGCGCCAAAATTTTATATTATTTTTTTGAGCCTCTTAACGTCCTCAAATGAAAAAACTCAAAATTACAACATTGAGAGCTACAACTTTGGTATAAAAAGTATCTTCATTTGACTCCATACAAAAAATATATTATTTTTCTAATGCGACAAGCGCTATTATGATGCTGAAATTTTATATTATTTTTTGAGCAACTTAACGTCCTCAAATTAAAAAACTTAAAACTAGAAAGTTGTAGATATCATCGAGATCTACAATTTTTATATAAAAATCATCTTCATCTGACGTCGTATTAGTTCATTTTTATATAAAACAAGCTTTTTCATTCTCGAAAGTTGTTTTGTCGCGTGAGAAGATGATTTTTATATAAAAATTGTAGATCTCGATGATACCTATAACTTTCTAGTTTTAAGTTTTTTAATTTGAGGACGTTAAGTTGCTCAAAAAATAATATAAAATTTCAGCATCATAATAGCGCTGGCCGCATTAGAAAAATAATATATTTTTTGTATGAAGTCAAATGAAGATATTTTTTATACCAAAGTTGTAGCTCTCAATGAGATCTACAACTTTGTAGTTTTGAGTTTTTTCATTTGAGGACGTTAAGAGGCTCAAAAAATAATATAAAATTTCGGCGTCTCCTGAAAATAGAAAACCGCTTTTGAAACCAGCCGAGGACCAAATTTGTCCGGTTTTAATAGTTGGAGGGTGTTTGTTATCCGGTTTCATAGTTAAAGGTTAAAAATCGAACTTCAGTGCAAGTTGAAGGTTGGAAAGTGTACTCTACCCTATTTATAAAGACGAGAGACCCGGCTTCCTCCTTCCTCGCGCCTCCCCCTCCTTCCTTCAACCGCCCAACGGCCATCTGCTCCGATCAAAAGCACGCCAAGTAACTGCAAGAACTCGCCAGAATCCACCAACCCCCAGTAGTTGACACCAGTATAATTCCCCCCCTTCTTTTCTCTACCCGTACAAGTTCAAGCTCGTCTGGATGCTGACATCGGTGAAGTTGGCGGAGCTGCTGTCGGCGGACTTCCCGGACCTCGCCGGCGACACCACGATCCTGCGGAAGCTCCTTGTGGTCGAAGCCCTTCCCGACGATTGCAGTTCACATGACCTGATGGCGGAGTACTCCAGTTTCGGGATTTTGCTCCGGGCAGAGATTGTTCGTGATGACATTGGACACCGTGCTGGGCTTCTTGTTTTTGAGTCCGTTTCCGGCTGCTCCGCCGCCACCGCAGAACCCTTCCACGGAGCCATGATAGCCACCCCGGTACGTTCTTCCCTCTAGTTCTTGAATCCGTTCTATTCTCTTCTTTCCTTTTCTGGTCTCGCTCTCGCCTCTGTTTCTTGAATCTCTTCGTTTCTTTTCTTGTTCTCTTCGTTTCGGCCCGCACCGCGTCCGCACCAGCCGCTGCATTCTTGCGGTATATAGCGACGGCCCGCATATTGTCGCGAAGCTGATGCGGGCTCACGCCCCGCTTGCCACCGCCACCGCCACCGCGATACTCGAATACGATGCCGCAGGCCAGAGTCGCTAGTAGTTGCTGCTTGTCTTGTCTTCTGCCCAAGGCTTTCTTCGATCGGATCAACGGCTTGCTTGATCAGGAGAGCTCTCGGCCAGAGCCGATGACAAAGAAGGGGCGTGGTGGTTTCGGTGACAGAGGCGCCCGTGGCGGTGCCGCCCAACTCGATGCCGCTGTTCCAGTACCCGCATCCGCGGGCCGGGCCGGATGTTGCCGTGCGCAAGAAGCACCTGCAGATGGGCACTAGCGCCGGGCAATCAGTGGCTGGGTCCATGACTCCATGTCGCCCACGCTGCGTCGAGCCGTCGATGACCCTGACGACGCGTACATGTCTGATACATTCGCTGCTTCGTTCACCTGCTCTGATCACCGCTTTCTTTGGCTTGTTTAGTTGGCCAAACTTTAGAAATTTGGCTACCGTAGCATTTTCGTTTTTATTTAGCAATTAGTGTTTAATTATGGACTAATTAGACTTAAAACGTTCGTTTTGTAATTTCTCACCAAACTGGGCAATTAGTTTTTTTTCGTCTACATTTAATGCTCCATATACGTATCGTAAGATTCGATGTGATGGCTACTGTAGCACTTTTTAGGAAAACTTTTTGAAACTAAACGAGGCCTTTCTCCGACCAACAAAATCCCCTGCTTCATTCACCTGCTTTCTTTCTCCGACCAACTAAATTCCCTGATTCATTCACCTTCTTGATGCGGCTAGTAGTGCGGAGCGTTATCTTTGCCTCACGTATTTATGATCGTGGATTATTTACTGCTGGCTGGTTTGGTGTGAGCGAAAAATATTGTTCCAGCTTATAATCCACGATCGTATACGAATAAGCGAACATGCTACCTGTAGGGACTGCAAGCTGAAGAACCTCACTGTTCTTGTCAGCATGTCACATACTCACATCTCACTGTTCTTGTCAGCATGTCACATACATCTTACCCTTTTGTCACCTTGTCATTACATTTGTTCAGGTTACTTGCTGCTTCCATTGTAATCCTAACAGAGGTACAGTTTTTTTATTTATTTTATCCATCGAATTCGAAATCCCTGCTCAATAATGATTTGTCAGCACTCAGCACATTGTCAGGTATCATGGTTTGATGGTTTAATACTTTGATCATTCGTTATGTCAATCGGTTCAGTTACATAATACTAAATACAGTCTCATGGCAGTTTTTGCAGCATTGCAGCTCGAAACCTGAGTTTAATTTGTGACATCCTACCCATGGTAATTAAAATAAGCTTTATTTCTATATTAGCTCTAGCTTTTCTCACATATTTCTTTATTTATTATCTCACTATTATGCTGTATCTCCCTGGTCTTGTCTTTCCTTGGTCTGCTCTCTGGGCTCTGGCTTGTCTTTTATTCCACTGATTGCAATTGCAACGCAATCCTATTTGCTGCAGGCCCCTTTTTTGGACATGAGGAACCACAGGCGTTCTTACCTCCACCTGAGAAGCCTCATTGCTGTACTGGATACTGTCTTTCCGGCGGCGACCCAAGACCCCAATTTCTTGAACAGATCCCTTCTCATGGAGGGAGTGTCCCTGAGGGCTACTCCGCGTGATCTGCTTGACGAGGCATTGGGCGTTCAGGTTGAGGCAGCTGTTGTTGTTCGTGATGCTGAGTTTGGCGACTCTGTTGGACTGCTGGTGCTGACACATGCTCATGACACGGAGGTTGCCACGGCAGCAGGGCCACGCCCAGGAGTATTCTGTGACTGTATCAAGGTTAGAACTTGAAGTTCCTCTCACTGTACAATGCATACTGGGGGCCGTGCGTGCCCATGCTTGTTATTGTTACCAACCGATGGATCCTGATCCTGGTTACTGCATGCTTTGTGTTGTGCAGGCGAGCGACAGTAGTTACACACGCTTCCAGATCTTGGAGGCGCTTGACGACAGGGTCAGACGCCAGGCTACAGCCGAGCTCTCCCAGTCACTGGACCCCCAGAGTACCTTTCTTGCGGATGCAGACATGACGTTCCACTTGAGCTGTGTGTTCCTCAGAGGCCCGGGCTGCTCCAGCGAGGGTGCAGTGTACAACCTGTGCAATATCGGCGCCGAGGTGCTTCTTGCCATTGGACCAGTCAACGCGGTGTTCCTTGGGCCGGATCACGATGTTGCCGTCCTTTGTCTACTACGACGCCCAGGGTACGGAGAGAATCGGCAGAAGGGAACCATATTTGCGCCAGAGGCTGCTGGGGATGTACGACTCGTCGCTATTTCCACTCCCTGGCGGCGCAGCTGCCGAGGAGGCTTCAACGGTGCGGCGTCTGCTGCCGCCCTTCGTCACGGCCGCCGATTACCTGGGGCCGGTGATTCTACAGACGGAGATTACCTGGGGCCGGTGATTCTACAGACGGAGATCGACACGACGACTTGTGACGCTGCAGATATCGCGCGGTTCATCACATCCCCAGCAGGTCTAGGTCATGGATTGGAGGCAGTCATAGTGCACAGAGCTATTGGGGCTGTGTTCGTGGTGTTCCAGAGGCAGTCTCAATCGGAGTTGCTACTACGGGTATCCCAGGAAGAATGGTTCGCAGCTTTCGAGAGTCCGGTGGATCTTCAACTCCTGGAGCCCTGGAGGCGACGCCCAGGCAGCAGCAGCAGCAGTTGGCTCCAGTGCAGCAGCTTGATTTGAGCAGATTGAGCCTTGGAATGAGACAGTGGCTGAACCCCGCAGCATTTGAGACTGTGAGACTTGAGTTCAGCATGGCGTTGGCGGGATGCCCGGATCACAACTTCATGGAGCTTAATCTCGGGCTGATTGGACTTGCTGCTTTGTCAGAGCCCCATGCGCTTCGGCGCAGCTACTTCCCTGACAGAGCAGTGCTGCTTACAAGGACTCGAATCGAATGAGCAAGTCAGATCTGATAGAAGTTGACTAGCAGTAGCGACTATAAACTTGCATTTAGGATATAGCAAACCCTAGAACATGAATTAAAACTGAGAGAGATAGAGAAAGATGACGAAAGTGGGGAGGCGTTACCGACCATCGGCAGGCTTGACGGAGGAGCTGGCCATGGTGTCGATGTAGGGTAGCAGTGGAGTCCGGCGGCGGTATCGAAGGCGCAGCGGAGGCGTGGTCCAGTGGCGGCGACGAAAGCGGTGGCGCTTTCCGTCGCTCGCAACGTCCCCTCTAGATCGGCTTAGGGTTTGTAGGTGGAAATTGTGGCGGCGGCAGTCAACCTCGTACCTAGTGCCCTGGCCCCTATCTTCTTTTTATGACACTGCACGGTGCAGACCCACCAACCATTGATTCAGGACACGGTATCAAGGTCGACTCGCTACCTAACAAGATCTAAGGACCACGCTGACCAGGTACGGTTCGCTGGACGAATTGGTGTATCTGAGGCCCAGGAGGATCGCCCTGGCCATATTCACGTCTTGGACTGGGGCAACCAGACTGCTCCGGGGGCTGGCAGTGACGCGGATGCGCTTGGAGTTTGGCAACTGCCGACCTGCAGCTGCAGCAGACAAATTTTTTTAATTTTAACACTTTTTATAAATTAATTTTAAATCTAATATTATTTTTTTTCAAAACTAACACTTTTGGCCGCGCCTATTGCCATGGTGCGGCCAAAAGCCTGTGCCGTACCATGCATGGTGGCGCGGCACGGGGCTGACGTGGCGACGACCGGAAAGGCTGACCGTTGACGTGGCATGGCCTGCCGCTCCACCGATCTTGGCGTGGCAGTGCCGCGCCCTGATCCGTGGTGCGGCAGAGCCGAATAAAAGCCCCACGGCCAGTCCCGCCTGCCCGAGCAGCAAGCCCGCCTGCCCGCTCCCGCGTCCGCCCGCGCCAGCCCGCCGCCGAGCACGCCGGCCGCCGCGCCACAAACGACGGCACGGCACGGCCGCCCGGTGCGGCCGCCGCGCCCGCACGCCGGCGCGCCACCCCCTCCGGTCACACACGGCGGCTGCCCGCCGTGTCCGCCGAGGCCTCCACCTGCATTTCCCGGCCCGGTCTAGCACGCCACCGCCGTGAGGACAAGCGTCGCTGCCGCAAGATACTCCCCTAGTGTATTTGTTGATTGAATCGACATTGTTAGTATAGTAAGTTAGTAAAATAAATAAAGTTAGTATAATTAGTAAAGTATAGTTAGTAAAGTTAGTTAGTTTAGTTAGTATAGGTAATATAGTAAGTAAGTATAGATAGTAAAGTTAGGTAGTTTAGTTAATACAGTTAGTGAGTCTAGTTATACATTGGATTTAGTCTAATTAGTTGTTGTAGTTAGCCTTGTATAGATGTTAATATTAGATTAGTTAGTATAGTTATAGTTAGAATAGGTATTAATATTACTATGGACATTACGTACGACGATTTCGACGACTTGATAAAGTTTCTTGGAATGCTTTTGCAGATGGATTGTTGTGTTAGAGTTTTATATGGAGGAAGTGTTAGGAGAGAAGATGGTATGTTTGAGGATATGAAAGAAGAATTTGAATGGTTTGATGAACCTCCTAGCTTCAACGACCTTTGTGTCCGTTTGAATGCAAAGTTTGGCGGTGATTTCACACTGAAGGGGAGTTTTGATATTAGGAAGACTAGGGCACCCTATGTCCTCATGCCCTTGCGCAATCCTACTCACTGATCCCGCTACACTATGGTGCTCCAAGGTTTCAATGTGTCCATGGCTAAGATGGTGGTGGAGAATAGGTACATGATGTAGGGTGTTCAGGACGGCCCGTCCATTGATGGTGTTGGAGTCAATGAACAAGAATTAGGGGCCGAAGGGGAAGAAACTCAGGATAACATGGATTTGGACGGTCAGTTGACACAAGAGCAGTTTTATTCAACTGCAGTAGGCTGTATAAGCAATGACTTCGATGTGAATGAGTTCGAACGGAAAGAGGAGGAGCAGGAGGAGGAGGACAGGATCGGTGATGTAGTTAGCAGTGATTCAGACGATTCTGATGATGACCAATGAGGTACAGATGCTATGTCAACACTGGTTGATGCCATGCCTGTACCGGTTTATACTATGCCATTACCAGTACCAACTGAGGTTTTGCATGGTATCCAGGCTCAGGGTAGACTAGTCACAGATTTGGCAGCAGATGATACCCCCTATGATTCATGGGCCAGAATTAGCGAAGCGCAGCAGTATGTTCCACCACCATCTTACACAGCGACTGAGCTTGAGCAACTAAGGTCGATGAACGTACCTTTCAGGGGTGTTCCGAACTATAGGGATGTCAGCATGACGGATATGACAGTTTGTGACACCGGTCTTCAGATATGTAGGAAATTATTGTATGACCATGAGAAAGAAACCCTTAGGAACAGGATGATATTCAATACAATATCAGAGATGAAGCTTTTCCTTCAAGACTATGCTGTGTACCACCATAGACTGTACACCGTCACTCATTCGGACCAGGAGTTGAGGTACCACGTGATATACAAAAACGGTTGTATGTGGAGGTTAAATGCACGAAAGAGACAGAGTGATGGCAAGTGGGGGATAAGTAAAGTTATCGAACCCTAAACTTGCCTATCAAATAGGGGGAAAGAAAATCATCAGCAGCTCACTACATGTTACCTTGCCCGTTGTATATTGGGGCTCGTTGATGACAATAATGATATTTTGGTGTCTTCTTTACAATAGTCCATATCTGGATTCGTTAAGTACGATGTGAAGTACGGAAAGGCTTGGCGTGCTAAGCAAATTGCCCTGGCGATTCAATGGGGTAGTTGGGAGAAAGCGTACAACAGGGTGCCCCGCATCTTATGTGCAATGCATTACTACAACCCTGGCTTGAAATGGTTTGTGGACACCGGAGGGATGTTTTTTTGGGACCCGTTGAGGCATGTCCTCTATCGTGTGTTCTGGTCGTTCACGCAAACGGAACATGCATTCTAGTTTTGTTGGCCAGTCGTACTTGTTGATGGCACTTTCTTGACAGGAAAGTACAGGGGCACCTTGATGATGAGTGCTGCTGTTGATCCTGAGGACCAGATAGTACCCATGGCTTTTGCTTTGGCAGAGGAAGAGAACAATGACTCGTGGTCATAGTTCATGTGGCTTCTACGTGTACAAGTGCTTGGCTCATCTCGCACTATATGTTTGATCTCGGACCGTCACCTAGGGCTTCTTAATGCTGCAGCTGAGCATATAGATGGGTTCCCGCCTCTAGTGCATAGATGGTGCATGAGACACTTTGTCGCTAATTTTTGGCGGCGTCAGCGGAAGCAGTAGGTATATGACAAGGTAAAAGCTCTATGTTGTGTACGTACAAAGCACCAGTTCAAGGAGACAAAGAGAGAACTAGACAAGATGGTAAATGAAGCGAGAAAGGCCTGGTTAGAGGCGCAGATGGAACAGAAGGCTCAGTGGGCGTTAGCATATGACGAGGGGGGTTTCAGGTATGGCATCATGACCACTAACTCCTCGGAGTCCTTCGACCGTGTATTCATCGGAGTTCGATCATTGCCTGTGTCTGGAATTGTTGAGTTCTCCTTTCATAAGTGCAACGAATATTTTGTGAAGAGGTGGGAATTTGCGTAGAGGAATATAGCTGAGCAGGGGCGTTTTGGAAAGACCGGAGCTGAACATTTGAAGGAGGCTGATGAATTGGCCTCGTAGCACACTGCCAAGCCGTATGGACCCCGTCGCCATATCTTTAGTGTACGGGGCAAGGGTGGCACAAGCTTGGACGGCGAACGTTATGGTGGACGAAACTACCTAGTTGATCTTGAAAAGGTAGAGTGCAGTTGCAACATCCCTCAGATAATGTATGCCCCTTGCTCTCATATGATCATGGCCTGCAGGGTTCGCGGGTACAACTATGAGGAACTACCATATATGTCACCCTTGTATCTCCGTTCGAACACCATTAGTATTTGAGAGATGAGCTTCGAGCCATACCTCGACCCGACACGGTGGCCACCTTATAATGGTTATGACTACGTGCTGCATCCGGATCTAATGAAGGTAGGAAAGGGTAGGAGGAAGAAGAAACGACTCAAGGGGGATATGGACGCTATGAGTGGGTGCGGCGAAGACATGTACGACGGAGGAGACTTCAACGAGACCCGTGACAGGAATCTTTGCTCTGTTTGCAAAGAATCTGGTCTCAAGGCTAGCAGGCATAGAAGACGAGTGCAGCAGGTGCTTTCATATTGTGTTCGTATTGCATAACAAGTAGTTCAAATTTTACAATGCTACATAATGTTAATTTGAATACTCTAACTCTTTGTTTATCAATTTGTAACAGGATGGCCCCTCCCACGCCGCACTAGATGTACCCCCTTCTTGAGGTGGAGTACGACGACCCCCTTCTTCCACTGGACGACGAGGTTTTCAAGAGGCATTCGAGGGATCCTTACATTCCTGGGACTTAGTTCGTTACGTCGGACTTATGTCGAACGAATATTGTCGACCGAAACTTATAGACTCATAAACCAATGCAAATGTTATGTGGCAACTTGTCGTCCATTTATTTGCTTCATATTCGTTTTAACTTGCGCATGGTCGCAACAGCACTTGTAGTTGTTTACAGCACCGACAGCAGCTCAGTTGAGGCTGGTCGGTTTCTGTCTGCGTCACTGCCGCACCGTGGACTATGGCGCGGTAGAACCTGGGCTGTGGCGCGGCAGAACCAGTGGGCTATGGCGCCGTATTCGAGATAATTTTACTCGATTATGTTCGTTTTAGAAATTCTCAACACATGATACAAACGGATGGGATCACTTAAGATCGACCATGGGTAATCCGAGTACATGATACATGGGTACAATACATCAATAGTTCAAATAGAATATAAGACAACACAATAAAATTTCTAGTACATAGCTGCATTGATCATTAATAAAGCATGGAACTAACAGACAGCGCAATCAAAAACCCTCAGTC